AAAAAAAATCATTTTTTTTACCAAATAGAGCAGTAGTTCTCCACCTTCTTAGTGCTGCGCCCCATTAATATAGTTTCTCGTGTCGTGGCGACCCCCCCCCCCCAGCCACACAATTATTTTAGTTTGCTAAATCATAGCTGTAAGGATATGTGTTTTGAGATGGTCTTAGGCGACCCCTGCAAAAGGGTCTAGCGACCCCCAAAGGGGTCGTGACCTACACGTTGAGAACCGATGAAATAGAGAGCTTTTAAATGTTTTTTCGGAAACCTCGGCAGTGAAGGGAATTTTGCACAAATTGAAATGTAAACATCTGTATTGGTTATAAAAGCGCTAGCTTTATTTCATTTTCCCTCGACTCGAAGGAAGCAATTTTTAAGATGATACATAAAGTAAGAGTATTTTCAAAACATAATATCCGTTAAAAAATCCGTTTCCAGTTTTCGTAGCTAGCGAACATAAATTAGTTAATAGACCATTATGATTTGACTGCGACATACAAAACTGCTAGAACCTAGTGCCCGGTAGTATGTAGAATAGTGTATCTTTATCTCAGTTATGAATGGTTAAGTGTCATTAGGCTGCTTTTAAAAGAATTAGTAGAATTCAACTCCGTGGCTTCACTTTTCAGGTGATGTCCGCAGAAATGACCCTCTCGGCCATATTTATGGCTTTAATCATCCATCACCAGGCGATGCGTGTTCGGGGCGTCACGTGCACAGTCTCCGATTGGACGACAACTTTCGACAACGCGGGTTTGTCAAAGTGCAAAGATCTGAACAATGCGTACATCAGCGGATTCAGCAGAAGCTCCCTAGGAACCCCAGACACCATCGATCGTTTAGAGGGCGCCAACTGTTGCCAGATCGACCCCGTCTACCAAACCACTGCCTACGTCGTGAAATATAGTGACTGGTCCTGGACGATGACCCAGAACAATAGATGGTCATGGTGCCCTCAGGGATTTTTCCTGTCTGGCCTCTCCCGAAGTGCTGGCAATCAAGCTAAAGTCAACAGCATCCAGCAGGCTCGCTGCGTGAAACCGAGCCTCCATCCGTACTATTACCGTTCCTGCTACGATGAGAGCATCGAGGCGACGTTTGAAGCCAAGGGTTCGGTGTCCTGTAGAGACGGCTACTACGTTGTGGGTCTGTACAGAGGTAACTGTGACGAGCTCAAGTGCATCGACTCTCTCCACTGTTGCCAAATGGCGTTGAGACCCGAAGAGCTTGACTCGCTCGCCGCCGTTAAGAATCGCATCATGGATCAAACGTTGCAGTCGTTGAGCTATTTGGCATACTATCTGGGCTATGCCTGGTGCAACGGTTGTCGTTCTCCGTTCATTGGCGAAGATTTCGTAAAATCCGGCGATACCTGGCTGGCCGACACAACCGGGGTCTGCAGTGGCACGCGCGCGAATGAACGGCTGAAAATCAAATACGACGACTGGAGCTTTGGCGTTACAAGCCTCATCTACGACCAGCAGCTGGTCCTGGCAGAAGTTGTGGCCGAGGTCATCGACAGCGGGACATTCTCCAACAACGGACCGGACACCTCTTCGATGACCATCACCAGGGCCGTTGAAGTCGCCAGGACCATTCGGCACACCAAGACCAGTTCGTGGAAGGTGGCGGCGGAACTGGGCATAGAACTGAATTACATCTTTGAGTCGACCAACATAAAGTTTACCTACGAAAATAGCGAGGTCAGCGAGACGGGGGACGAAACTGAGAACAACAACAAATTTCAAGTGGAGACTACAAAAGAGCTACCGGCGTATTCCGCCTGCGATTGGAAGCTGATACTGACAAAAACTAAATCATCAAACGGCTATAAAGCCTTAGTTAGCACAAAGTTCTCGGTTGAATTTCAAGGTTTTCTGAGGTATCGCGACAGTTATTACGGCCCCGATACCAACTATCACTACGATTACAGGGGGAAAGACACACGACCGGCGTTTAACTATCGTTTCGGCAAGAGTGGCATCCCCTTCTACTCAGCATTAAAAAGGGTCAGTAATTTATTTTTGCTCTAATTTCATTTAGAAGAAACATTCTATTGCGGTACTTATTTAAATTTGAGAAATGATTAACTTTGAAGACTTAAGTTTAAAAAATACTAGTAAGTAATCAATTAGAAAAACCCTCTCTAGTCTAATCGTAAAACTATTAAATGAGCTTATTATACAACTCCGGTTGACAAATCTGTGGTGGCTTGTCGATTAGGAGGCGTCGGCCACCGACCCCCTCGGCGTTACCCGGGGAACACAACCACTGGGCGCGTCCTGCGTGGGCAGACAAGGGACGTGCTCGGTACCTGCCGTAAATAGAACAGCACCTACTGGGCTGCCAGTTGTGACGCTTCACATTTGGAAGAAAAGGCAGAGACAGGGTAGGGATCATGATTACAAGTTGCCGTTAATGGATATGAGGCGAGAGGCGACAGTGGTAACCTCTGGCCGATGATTCTCACTATGCAGCCCTGAGAAGCTGTTCCAAGCCAACCGTTTCGTCCCAGCTACTTCGCAAATTAGTAGCGTTGTGGAAACTCACTGTGGAATCCCTCTTCTAGGGCGTCCAACGCTTCCCAGGCTTGGNTATATATATATATATATATATATATATATATATATATTTATATATATATTTATATATATATATATACACCGATTATTAGAGATGCAAATTCAGTGGATACTAAAAATTCGAGATACTATCAAATTTAAATAAAATTCTAAAAAGCAAAAACTTTATATAATGAAATGAAAATTAAAAAATAAATAAATCTTACAATAATCAAATATTCACAATAAATATTCCTCTAGATTTTTTAATATATCTTTAGAGTTAAAACCTATTAGACAGAACTAAAAAAAAAAACATTTAAAAAAAAAAGTATGTATATATAGGCTTGCCGTCTCCCAGTCATCTGACCTCGCTATCTATCCTAGTGTCTCCCAAAGTCATCTGGCCTCGCTGTCCACCCCAGCGTCTCCCAGAGTCATCTGTCCACCATCATCTATATCCTTTACCACTAACGTTACTTTTTCACAGGAAAGCTCACAAAACATGTATCCATGGATGTGGAATGACATCGTGACAACGCATGGACAAGCTCAGGTTAAACTTTTCAACAATTCCGTCTTTTCTTTTTTTAAATGGTCAGCTTGAAAATTTTTACTGTTATATTTTTTTCTTTAATTTAATTTAATATATATTCCCTATATCACAAATAATAATTCTCTAGGTATGTATGTAAGGCTATAGCACTGTGTTCAATAGCCACACAAGATCAAATTCCCAGAAGTTAGCACTAATTATTGGGATTCTTATAAAGTGTGTTACTTGAATGTGTTTCTTGAATGCATGTTGTCAAGTAACTTTAGTAGATCGAAATTTCATTCATTGCCTAATTTAACAAACTTCTTCCCATGAAGGAATTCATCGACTACCTGAATGATGAAAGCACATACACCATACCACTGACGGGGAAGTTTGAAGACATCAGTGGCAAAAACGTTTTCTTCCAGTGGAACTGCCCGTCGAACCAAACGTACCAGCGGGTCAGAAGGAGCGCAGGGGATGGTGAGAGACAAAGGACTGAGTCGCCCAATGGAATGGTCAAGCACATTGACAAGAGAAACATTAAGCTTAAAGCTTAAATGGCATCACTCAAGATCAATAAAAAAAGAGACCTGGCTTTGCAGGCATGAATAGTATGGAGAAATTATAAAGTTGTAGTATCGTGTAATAGAATTTTTCATTATGTATCCATAGTAACCAATTAGAAACAGTAGTTTAAAGATATATATCTTAGCCATTACTATTAGTATGGATAAAATTATAGCCTAATTTTTCACACTGATCTGTAATGGCAACCCCTTGGGGTATCACTTATCCACTTTCCAAAATTGATTGGTACCAAGTACAGTACCAGTATTTAAAATGTATATTTTGACGACCAAGTATTTAAAAAAGGACCGAAGTTCCTTTTTTTGCAGACTTTGGAACCGATATGTGCCTATGGTGGAAAACCATCCCTTGACTTGTAGGATGAAGGGTGTATAAAATGTTCAGTGGCACTTCCTCTCGACATGTTATTGATTTCATACACTGAATGTGAAAAGAAGAATGGATTTATTTATATCCGTTACTTTAACTTTCACAGTGCATAGAAATAGACTGTCAGCTGCCAATGCAAATATACATCATCATTGTAAATGAACACTGGTCTGTTTTATTGTTGGTTCTTGTGATTAATTTTAAAAAGTGTATATACCAGTTGTTGAGAACTCAGTATTCTGATAGATAAAGCATTTTTTTTCTGGTCCAAACAGTTATGGACCATTTCAAATATAGGTAATTTTTCAGCTTTTAGTACAACTTTTTTATGACAGCTGATGCGTTACTGCTACTTAAGTGACAAACATGCATCAATAATACCATTCCTTTATTTAGGTTTGAACTATTTTAAAAATTAGGAGCAGGAATGAAAAAAAAAAAAAAAAAACAATCCTTCAAAAACAATTTTAAATTCTGGAAGCAAAAAAAAGAAAAAAGACATTTAAAAACATTTTTATGACAGCTGATGCGTTACTGCAACTTAAATGACAAACATGCATCAATAATACCATTCCTTTATTTAGATTTGAACTATTTTAAAAATAAGGAGCAGGAATAAAAAAAAAAAAAAAAAAAAACAATCCTTCAAAAACAATTTTAAATTCTGGAAGCAAAAAAAAGAAAAAAGACATTTAAAAACATGGCACCTGACACTAACTATGAAAGCTGCCAAATTTGTAGCTTTCAACAATTTTACAATTCCTTAAAAAAATTAATAAAACCATAGTTGTACAATTATTATTTACTATACTTCTTTTTATTGCATTTTTATTTCTGAGAATAAATCTTCGCTATCTCCTTAGCAAATCGAGGAAGTGGAAAGCCCATGACATTGAAGTTATCTCCGTGTATTTTTTCCACCAACGTTCCACCAATACCTTGAATACCATAAGCACCTGCTTTGTCCCTGGGGGAAACAAGAACATGTAATTAAGTTCAAGTTTAAAAAGCAGTTTTCTCAGTTGAAATTACAAAATTTCCAAAAAAGTCATTCTCATGAGGCAAAGCTACTCCTCATGGCTCACTGTTAGTTGTAAATATTGTAAAACATAACAAATTGTATTCCTTTAGTTTCTTTCACTCTCATAATTGATTAATATAACAATGGATCCTAAAGTAAAATATACTTAAATATACTTATAATTGATTAATATAACAATGGATCCTAAAGTAAAATATACTTAAACTTAAAGCAGTAATATTAACTATGCAACGTGTTCTGGGAAAAATGATTGGAGCTGTACAAGACGTTAAACAATTGTGTGTGTAAATTAATATTTGTATTTTGAGGATTGTACCTTTTTCACTTGCTGTAAGTTGATACAGTTTCTTTGCTACTGTACTCGAATTTGTATTTTTATAGAAATTTGTACAATTCAATTAAATATTGTTATTATCACTAGGTTTGGTATCGTTTCCTTTGCATACTGTATTTCCTCAGTACTTTGCTTTACATTTAATCACTAATAAAATCTCCAATGAGTTGTACAAATAACTTCACAACTCTTGTATGCAAAGTTAAACTAGGACACAAAATAGTTTACGACTTTTGCATTAAGGCTTCAATGATGTAATATGATATAAATATGATGAACGATCTACGGAGGTGATTTTCAAACTTTTTACACACACTAACTGGCAGAAACAATGATATGTTTGTAGACATTATTTTGGGAATTACCAAATGCGTCTTTGATAATTGTGATTGCATTTTTTATAAGTTAGAAAACCTGCCATCCAATGGGTTTTCTGTTTGATTTTATAACTGACCAATTGGAACACAATCTTCTCACATAAATCATGACATCCGGTTTTATTGTGAAAATAACTTTTTTCATGGACCAATACAAGATTTCTGCAGATAGGTGTTGAAATAATGTATTTACTGACAACAGCAAAAAAAGGTGATGAAGTTAACTTCAAAGTGCATGACCCGCGTATTATTTATTAGCATGATTAATGTAAAATATTTCACCAAAATGAAATAGTTCTCATATTACATTGTAATCGTACAGCTAAATGCAATAGTTCTCAAGTTAAAATGTAAATGTACACTCAGCTAGATTCAAAGGTTCTAGCCTTCTATCTACTGTATATACTCGCATATAAGCCTACATCGCATATAAGCCAACCCCCTAAAATTGCTTTAAAATGGCCAGTTTTTGCAAAAATCCGCATATAAGCCAACCATACAATTATCTAATTTTACTCCATATTTTTGGTTCACAGAAATTTGTTACTGTAAAGATGTAAAATGCTACTTTTATGTTACATACCAGTTTGTTTACCTTTTGGAGCGACACAAAAACGTGTTCTGCTCTTTGCACATTGTTTGCTATAATAATATCTGAACTTCCGCTCATAAGTTGTTCACAACTAATGATTAACGAAGTATATATTTCGAAAAATTATACATTTTGATATGAATAAAGACGAAAATTGTTTTTGTTTTATGGGCATATAAGCCGACCCCCTGATTTCAGCATTGTATTTTATAGTTCTAAATTCAGCTTATATGCGACTATATACAGTAAATCAGCAGTTCTCAACGTGTGGGTCGCCACCCTTTTGGGGTCGAACAACCCTTACACAGAGGTCGCATAAGACCATCGCAAAACACATATTTATGAAGTAGCAACAAAAATAATTTCATGGTGGGGGTCACAACATAAGGAGGAACAGTATTAAAGGGTCGCGGCATTAGGAAAGTTGAGAACCACTGATCTAAATGTATAGCAGGCTACATACAGTATTTCTCATGTTACTATCTAAATGTATACTTGGCTACATACATTGGTTCTCCAGTTGCAATGTAAGATTCTATCACATCCTGGCTCAGCTCTGTCATGAACACATCAGTCCTTTCTACAAAACCTGTGAACCGGTATTTAGACTCTAGTGCTGGAGAACCTGTTTTAATAACTGAAAACAAAGAGAATTAAATATGTATACAAAACATTTATAACGGGAATAGCTGCCATTTAAAGGTGTTGGGTTGGGACATTGTTTCTTCAACTTAGATTAACTGTTTGATAAGTAAACATCTGGCCGGTATTTAAGAGTATGCCTTGAAAAGTATACCCGTACCCAACACAGCTAATTTAAGAGCATACCTTGAGAATGAGCAGGGACAAACAGCGTCAAACCCGAATATACTGAATGTGATTTTCCACTTAATCTGAAAACGAAGAAAGTTGTGATTCTAAAACTCTCTTTACCTAAAAACATGTTGTCACTAATGTACAAGAGTTAGTACTGATGTGCATTTATCAAGTGTAACGCCTTTTATAGCCTACTAATATGAGTAATAATGCATTAAAATATAATATTTTCAGATAAATAATCATCACATGACTTTAAATTCTTTTTGAATTTTCTCATTGGAGAGGAAATTTTTGGAACTAATCAGGCCAAGTCAGTTGGGAATCTATTTAACACAACCTGTTTACTTTGATGTATTCTCTACAACTTTTATACTCAACAGAGTATTCTCTAAGTACATTAAAGAACATGAGCATTGTGCAATTTGACATTACTCACTTGCTTAATATTCTGACTGCATCCTCCTTATCCCGAGGTTTTTCTATAATTTGACTGCCTAGAAATACAACAGTGTCACATCCAATGATGAGATCAGGAATGGTCTGAAGTTAAATTAAAGTTTTAATCCCATTAGCTCACAGCAACTCCAATATTTCAGCTAAAATTGGAAGAAATGCACTTTTAAATTTAAAAAACCAAAGCGGCTTAAAAAGATTAAGATTGTCTTCTTAAATGTAAATTGCTTAGCAAGGAAACAGTAATTATTTTATTAATTTATCAATCTTAAACAAGCTGGAGGTAATTTAAAACAAAATTAATGTTCAATTTGGTTGTCTAAAAATAAAAACATGAAGTAGATTTTTAAGCACTTAAAACATGGATTATTATAAAATCTATAGAAATCTCACTATTTCCATTTTGATTTTAAGTTATGAAGGTATGAAAAAAATTGTTATATTATAGTTACAGCAATGCTCTGTTATATAATGCTTTGCTCCAAGGAAATACAGCAATCCAACTTCTATGGACTAATTTTGCTTTGGTTAGCATCCATAACTAGATTTCCAGTCAGGCCCTGCCTTACTCCTGTTACATATGTCATTCTACAAGCCACTTTGTTAAACAAGTTTGCTAAGCCCCATGATGGTGGTGGATGACTGATCTGGATTATTATTAGTATTTGATCCTCACACTGAACCTACTGAGACTTGTAACCCAAAAATAGTAATATATGTACTGACAAATAGAGTTTACCTGATTGCCGCTCAGCCTTCCAGCTACTTCTAATGTCTTTAATCTGGCATTTTCTAAAACATATTCTTCTGGTGTAAACTTAGATTTGTCCAAATTTTCCTCAAAAGTTGATGGGATCACTTCAATGTTAAGTCCCTGAAATAACAGAAAGATGACAAATGTTTTAATGATGTTTAGATTAAATTTATAATTTTCCATCACAGGGTGGGAAACACCGTTTTTTATACATTACTTTTAACAGCAGTAGAGATTTTCTATTTATTAGTAGCCTTATTAAGATAATTTTATAATAACTTCATTATAATTAAACTAAACTCTAAGTACCAACCACCCCCTCCCTTCCCTAGAAGAAATGGGGAAACTTACCACATTTTCTAATATCTGTTTTCTCCTTGGAGAACCACTAGCTAAAATGTTTCTTTGTGCATTCAGTATATGAATAAATGGTTGCAGCATGGCAAAGTCAAAGTTTCTTTCTTCCTTTGTAATTTCCTATTAAAAGCTATTTCTCTTTAAAAACAAGAAATACAAAGTTATTAGTATTATTATTAGGCCTATTTAACATTGTTTGGGGTAATTTCTCAGTCGTAGTAAAAAAAAATATATCTAAAATGAAAATTAATGAATTCAGCGAAGATAAAATCTTGAAATTATAATAAAAATAGTAAAATCATAATCATAATAATAATAGGCCCAGCTTTAGCCTAAAATTTCAGAAAACATAAGCCATAAGTCATGATAAGTTCACAAACTTCTTAATTATTTTCGTAGTTTGTTTACACTATAAATAGTCATAGAAATATAAACTATGACTATACTATGTAGATGTAGACTAAGTCTAAGTCTAAGTAGGTAGATAAAATTTGTTATTCTTAAGATATTCAAAAATTTAAAAAAATTAAACTAAGTCTTTAACATACAACGACAACAGTTTCCGTCAGTTACTTTGCTTACTCTTAAAGTTAATAAGTGTAGTCGTAGTCTGTACTGTAGTTAGTAGTTAGTAACTGTGACTGTAACTAAGACTACTACTAAGACTAAGAGTTCCACTCACTAAGTTAGTGTAAGTCTAAGTAGTTAACTAAGTAAAAGTAGTAGCAGTCAAGTTGGTGAAGGTTCACCAAACGGATGTAATTGTGACTACTAGAGTGTAGTATCAGTATAACTGATGTCATACCAAGTAAAAAGTAATAAAATACACTTATAACTAATACTAAGGCCTAATTTTATATAATACTACCGGTGATAATAAATGTACCGGGTAAGAAATTGACCTGTCACATTGATGTAGTGACATTCATCTTAGTTGCTAGCAGTTTAATTTGTGTATACGAAGTATCTGCTTCCGCTTTCGAAAGGAAAACGACCTTTGTTGGGCAAGTTTTTATTTTTAATAAATCAGGCCATGGTTGTGCAAAAAACAAGTGTTATGAAAATTAATTCAAATGCTAAATGCTCACTAGGACAAGTGAGACCGTTATTAAACGAATATACTAATTACCTCACAATATAGGCCTAGATACTTCCAGATGTGGTGATTTCAGACATTGTTTGTATAATTTTATTGCCCACCGGCAGAACCCTTGGCTGGCGCTTACGGAAACCTTAGGTGCCATGTAACTCCAGTCCAAGAACACTGCTATTCAGTGTAAAGTACTACTCTACTGGACTCACTACTTAGTTTACTGACAAATGTACATAAATAACACTGTACTCAAAATGTACACTTTTGTCTTATTAAATCATCCAGTTTCACTTAGAAAATTAGATACCTAGAATGCAAAGCAGGATAATTTCATTAAATTTGGTTTTTATATCATTTGACATGATTTGACTATTCTTAACAGTTCTATCAGTTCCAATCTATTTTGTAGGGTACTTTTTCAAATTTGAAATAGGACACCTTTGTTAACTTTGTAAAGCTGGATTTTGCAAGGGTGCAGAAAATCGAAAAAGTTTGGGAACGTCTGCAGTTGGTGATAGACTGAGTGTAAAAGATATTTTTATTACTGACCAAGTTGAGTGACAGCTATCAAATATGAAATTACTTAATCCATTCATTAGCAGGCCTGTTAATAGTGTTAATGTTGTTTTTGAGGAATCTGATATCAATAGTACTATATTAATGAATTTAATGGAATGTGAATCTATGTGCATGATTAAACTTTTAGTTATTTTGATCACAGGTATATTAAAGGTATGGTCTCTTCAATCATGACCTTACAAATTGGAAAAATGTAACCTAGATGTGATGAAGCTGTAAATGTTGTGAAATCATTGTTTAATCAATCACTGCCCGGCATCTAACCTGGCTGATTTGGACGTGAGACAGCATGTCAATGAGTCGATTGGATCAGCTTTATCGAAGACTTCTACTAACTAAATTTTTTACACATGGCTGGGGCAAACCAGAAGATTTAAAAAGGTGCATTCTGTTGCTTGAGATAATAGGTCAAATAAAATATTTTAACTTGGACATTAATAATGAAGACCTAAAATATATTTTATTGTTCGAAAATAAAAAAATGCATATATTATATAGCTATTGAAAATTCAGTAAGTATGAACTTTGAAAAGTGATTTAAATTTTTTTAAATGGTATCCATCATTTCTCTTCTGTATTATTGTTTTCAGACTTTTCGCCTTTAGAAAGATTCTGTCTAACCGAGACACTTGCCAGCACCTTGTCTCAGCTGAATATCCTATAAATATTGACAAGGTTAGTAACAATTATTATATAATATTTCAAGATTATTGAAGAAAAAAAAATATTAAAGAAATTTAATGAAAGTTCATGCCATCACATTAAATTGGAATTTTCCTAAAGCTCACATACATTACATAGGGTGATTTTAGGTTATGGAAAAGTTTGGTAAGTATTAGGGTTGAGATTATTTAAATAAACTGATTTAAATCATTAATTTATATTGATGTAAATAATGAATTTAATCAGTCCAATAAAAATCATAAGTTAAATAATATAGTTTTAATTATATTTATTATCTAATATATTTATAAATAAAGGCACTTGCTAAAAAGAATTCTTATTGATTTTTTTAATGCATTACTGGTTACATTACATATATCTTCTTAATATGTAATTATGATTGCACAAAAATTTTATAATAAATTACATTTTTATTTGATTAAACTTTTCATTTTTTTGTAGATTAGAAATCGACTTAATAAGAGTTGAGAGAGATGGAAAATTAATTTTGCTATTGAAATTACTTGATCGCAAGGCAAAAAAATATATTCAAATAATATTATGTTTAATCCTTATCAATGTTTATTTTGGCCTTGATTTATACATGCAGGAATATAAAGATGGAGACTGCCGCATTTTGGAAGGACATTTTACATCTCCCTTTGTTCATCATCTCCCAGGTATCATGCCGAAAGAGGTGGAAAAAGCAACGTGAGTAATTTATTTTTGAACCAAATAAATGTTATTTATCATAGCTCTTTAAAAAATCTTGGACTCATGACTACAATGCTACATTTCTCATGACTACAATGCTACATTTAAAACTTTTATCATCTAACTGTATGGTAGGAGAATTTGTGGTCCGCTTTCATGCCTACATACCAAGTGATTTTTATTCTAGTTTTATTTACACGCTAAAAAGCTTTTGGCAAGAACTTTTAACCATTGTTTTTTATAAACATGTTAGCCTTAGTTCTTAAGTCCCTTCTCTTGTTCATTTGGCCTTAAATTAAAAAACTATGTAGATAAAATGTGTTATTTCTAAGATATTCAACAATTTTTTTTTAAAAGTCACAGTTTGTTTAAAAGAAAATATGATGTTTTAAAATAAAAATAATGGTGAAGCTTTTAAAATTTAAAAAGATGCCTTTAAGTGACCATTTAGTAAATTTAAATAATTAACTTTATTAACTGATAAAAAATATTGTGACTATGTAAAGTTTCCTTCTCAACAGATTTCAAGTAATTCTCCCTGTCCAGTGGCGACATCAAACCTTGCGACCTATTTGTATTCATTTGGCAGGAACTGGGGATCATGTAAGCTCTATCTGTTTAGTTAAAAATTACATTTTTTTTAAAAATCTATTCAATACTTTCAATAAAAAAGGCTTATATGCTTAGGACATTTTAAATCCAGGTAGTTCATATAATAAATTAAATAGTTAAATCAGCCGCTTTTTTTTTCTTCCTAGTTCAGGGTAATTAAGAACATTATAAAATATGTGTATTAATGCAAGGCATGTCAAACAATTTGGCTTGTCATCTTAAAATATCTGTGTATGTTTTTATTCCTTCATTTTCTTTTAGTGTGTCTGCATTAGATTTACTTTTACCCTTAAAATTCATTGTTATTCCGTCTAAAAGTTAATTTTCCCATATTTATGATGCCAATTGATATCATGAATATATTTCTTATTAATGAAATATTTTACCACATTTTTTTTTTAAAAGGATTAAAATTTATTTATATTTGCTATTTATTAAGATATTAATGAAAATTCTGTCTTTTTTTCTCTGACACAGTATTTTTGGCGGCGAAGATTCTTTACCGCCCGTCCTCTGCTGAAAGAAACAGGAATTGCTTCAATTCTACTTGAAAACCCATATTGTATCTTTTTATTGTTTTTGAAAGAAAAGAATGTTTACCTGGATGAAATATGTTTTAGCTGAAGTATATTGTGTGGAAAGTTGTTAAGTCGCCACATGTTTCAATTCCTTAACCAGAGATAAATAGATGGAACAAGAAAACCAAAGGAACAGCTGTAAGTATGAGTGTGTAAGCTTAGAAGAGCAACTGAAAATTGTAGTGTGGTATATATGAACTATGCACATTCAGTAGGAATTTACCAAAGAGTGTGTTACAGATATTAGGACCATGATTGTTGTGGAATGTTGGAAATACAGCAAGAAAAAAATTTCCAACCGCCCCCAAGAGTTGAGGATACTCTGAATAAACACATTTTTAATGATACAATGCTATGTTCTATTTGGTCCCTGTGTAGGGCGAAGATTATTACTCATTTAATAAGAAATGGTATTACTGGGTGTTGACATCTAAAGCCTGTGTTTAAACCTGACCTGTCATTGCCTCTGATCGTTTCATAATACAATTTTACAAATATAATCTTGTATATAAACTTTCTGAGTGAAACATCTTTATTTAACTGAAGAGAGTTTTTTGACCCACTACTTTGCGAATAAATTAGATGGTAAGTGACTTATCACTTCTCCCTTTTGTCTCACTTTAAAGTAGGATTGCAGTACACAAATGTATAGCTTCATTTCCACATTTCCAGTTATATAAAATCAGTCATAAATCATTCTCTAAACCCTTTCATTACTGCTGGTTTTGGCATCAATTTTTGCTGAATCAGCCATAAAAAAACTTAAAGATGAAACTTCAGTATTTGTTCATTCTGTTTCCGATTCGCTTATTAACTTCTCTATAAATTAACTAATAAAGAAATATATAGCATTGAAATATGACGTCGACATGACGTCCTTGATATTTCAGAAAAGTTCTTTGCCTCTTTGTTATGACGACAGTGTAACGTCCTTAATAATTGAAAGTGGATGATCGTGACGTCAGTTAATTTGAAATAGAAAACAACTTGTACAATTTTTTGAGTATTTCTTAAAGATTGGTCCACTATAAAGGTGTATTTAAGCTAGAAATGTGGATTGATTTCTTTGTTTGTCCCAGACGATCAAGCCTTCACAATGTGAGTGACTTGTTTGTGATGGGTGGAGCTCTGGTTCTGGAGTCTATGGCACTGCTGCACTGGTGTGAGAGAGAAGGCTGGGGACCTCTAGGACTATCTGGCATCTCAATGGGTGGACATGTGAGTGATTTACGGGTTTACACAGTCTTGTTTATCTATGGGGGGATACCCGGACCTTGTCTATATGTTTGGTTTATTAGTTGATCTTTACTTAAATCTGGCCCACAGGAAACAATTTTCAAAATCTATACACTTGTTACTTGTTTTCTAACAAAATAATTTTAGCCCTAATCTAATAAAATATAACTCAAGGTTTCCTAACCATTTTTTTATACTCCCCACCCCCTAAAAATTATTTGAATCGTCTCACAAAACCTGTGAATTATTCTTCTCAGTCTTGAAACACCTACAAAAGTAAAAATGCATTTAAAAATGTAAAAAATACGAAGACAACTATTGTACTTAGAAAATAAACTTAAGACTTATTGCATCAAGTCATAAAGTAAAATGTTTATGAAATTTATTTACAAAATATAAGCAATCACTTATATCATAACTTAAAAGCCAGTATCTCCTCTATTCTTATTATCCCCTTTCCTCACACCCCGTGAAAAGCCACTTCGCATCCCAGATTAGCAAACCCTGATAATGCTATTATGTCAGTTCCATCTTTGTCTTTTAATATTTCTTATATATGTTTTTTTAAACCTCACCAAGTGTAGTTGGGTTGGTTTATTTGCTGTTTTAAATTATCAGCAACTTAGGTTCTGCTGTTTTGGGCACAAGAATCCTACTTGTCTGTTAAATAAATAACCCTCTGTCATTTTTATTAAAAGAAAGAAATAGAGCTGTATTTAAAGTAAGGAATAAACAAGGAAGCGCAAACACAATGATTCTCACACACACACAACACCACACCACCATCTTGTTCCAGCTCTTCAATTATTAAAAAAAAAGATTTGAATTTTTATTCATATACTCTGATTTTTCTTAATTTACAATTGTGAGCTTATTTCAGATGGTCAGCGGTGCAGCAACCCTTTGGCCAAAACCTATATCTGTAATCCCAATTTTATCATGGACAACTGCGTCCATTATTTTCACAGAGGTAACCAACCAGATGAGAGACACATTTATTATTATTTTCATTCACTTTCAGCACTTATGTGTTTTTCTTGACATGGTTTGTGAGTTCGTGGCACATTTTTATCTTGCACCAAAAAAATAAAAAATAAAAAAATGCTCATCATTTTACAAAAGTCTTTCGTGGCTGATAAAAAAATAAAGAAGATAATTTTTAAAAATATGTTAAAACACAAAATTTACCAAAATAGTATCTCATTAAATGATGAGCATTTTTTTTGTTGCAGCTGTTCAACTCTTTACAAACATAAATCAGGTCAAATACAACAAAGGGATGGATCAAGTGCAGTAAGTACTAATTATTTTCTATCTACAGGGACACAGTTATCAGCCCAATGAAGACTTAAGCCTTACCATTGAAATCTTTTGAATTTATCTGCTGATTTTTTTTCCCCCTTCTATACAGCCAAAACAATCGCAACACTTTTGGTAGTCTCCACCTGTTGATTTATTAAGCTTAAATATTTGCTTAAAACCACTAAACCTTTTTCTAAATGTCAACCATGTTTTTTTCTACCTGTCCATCCATTGGGTCACTGATTCTGATGACTGTGTTCCATTCCATATCCAAAATTATTTGAAAAATAACTATGTTTGGCTCAGATGGCCTCTTTGGCTGCAACAAACTGGACAAGACCTGTGTCTCTTGTACCTTGCTTGTCCTGGAGTACAGCTTCATGTGTGTTCACGGAGGTGAGGCCTATTCAATATTTTTTTCTTAGGTTACATGTTTAAGAAAGATATTTTGTTTCCTGAAAAATGGAAGCTCCGAGGGCTGTAAGTTGTAAGTAAACATTTCATTGAAAAAAAATGCACTTTATGATTAGATGTGAACATTTATGTGTTTTTTTTTAGCAATATCATATGTATTCAAAATTATTTCTTTTAAAATCTTTCGTGAAATAATTTTTAAAATTTGAGCCAAAATATAAAGATGTAATTTTTTTTAGAAATTCTAGATGCATTAATCATTATGAACATTTCAGATTTAATTGTAACTTTAAGTGGTAAACTTTTCAAACTGTATTATAAAGTGTTCAAGTGTTTTCATTTAAATGCAAATTATATTAGAAAATATAATTCATTATAAATTATTTAAATAATAAAGAATGGAGACTAGGAGTGTCCTTATAAGTTACATAATTCAGACAATCTGTTTCAAATGACCTCATTGACTTTAAAAAGTCATTCTGAGGCTACTGTGTTGATGTACTAATATTCTCTACACCAATTCTTTTTCACTGTATTAAAACCTTTGCCCATTTTTTTTTTTTTACTTTTGTCCCTGCCAGGGTGTGATGAGTGGTGCCATTCCTTGGGAGACACTTCAAGCCCAGTTCTTTGAGAACAGTGTTTATCAAGATGAGATTAGAAAGCTCATCATTTCTCCCGAAGACGTAAGTTGTGAGCATGTTCTTTCATTCCCTGATCACTGCCTTTCTGTCAGCTGCTGCAGAATTAACTTATATTTCCTCCATCTAAGCCCTATTCCCAGATATTTTTAGCAGAATAGAGGAGGGAAATGCTTCTATTTACAAGACATCCTATCTTTTTATTACATTTTCTTCAAAACAAGAGCAGATATAATTAACTATCTTTAATAGATAGTGAATTTAGTAATTCACTTCTGATCACTAACTGTATTTTTTTAAATGTCATTTTAGAGGCATATTAGCTTTTGCATGTTGAACTGGATAAAAAATTTGAAATGTATGTGTTTACCTTTCTTGTCTCTGCTTAGAATCGAAGACGGGCCTACGACATGGGACTCCAGTTTGCCAAAGACTATACAAACAACATAGAAAAAATGGAGTCCATCCACAAACAGAGCGGACAGTCACCAGAGCTATCACGACCTCATATTTCACCTGCCATGGAATTATCAGATTTAGTCAACGGCCATCAAAGTCTACATAATGAAGATACCATTCATAGATCTGGCGTGGACAACAGTGAAAAAGCTGTAAACAATGTTGATATATTTTGTGGTTATAATTATAATGGTGAAACAAGTTCAAGTGATAAGAGTTCTGTCACCCTGCCGCCACAAAAGAAACATGTGGATGGTGAAAGTGTGAAAAGTTCAATCAATTTAGATGAGGTGACGCCACTGTCCCCACATGAGTACATAACTCGGATACTGCCCATTCCATCCCCCAGTGATACCAGAAGTATTTCATCCATTCTTATGAAGAAGGACTCCTCAAAAGTTGAAATATCTGCACAGCAAAATACTCAAATAAATCACTCCCCTTCATCATCTTTAAGATCATTGGTGCAAAATATTGCATCAACGGAAAAGTCTTCAAAAAAGGACACTCAGTCAGGTCCCAGGTCTCTGACTTTGAAATATGCCTTTGCAAAATCCAAACTCATGATCTCACGTCAGCCAGTGCCTCAGTTGCCATCCAACACGGAGCAGGTGAAGAACTTACAGCAGGAGGCACTTGATTTTATGAGGGGCGTCATGGATGAATGCACACACCTGGGCAACTTTTCCACGCCAGTGGACACAGAACTGATCATCATTGTGTCCGCCAAACAAGATGCCTATGTACCCAAAGAAGGTGTCCTAGGGCTGGATGACCTGTGGCCGGGCTGTGAGGTTCGTTATGTGGACAACGGACATGTCGGAGCTGTTCTGCTACACCAAAGTGTCTTCAGGTAGATTTTTTGTTGCTTGGGTCTGTAAAAAGTTTGATGTCATCATCAACTGCATATTGTTGGTTGGAAGGGATAAAGAAATCAATTATTTCTTTTAATACTCTTGCAGATAACTTTGAAAAAAAAAAAAAAAGAAGAAAAAACTAATCACATAGTGGGCTACATTAAAAGATGTGTGTGCAAATTTTCATCATGGCCTGTGGCTTTCCAGCACATTCCCCAAAGGCTGAAGGATATGGATGATGCTCCTTTAAGTTCTTCTTTTATCCTTAGTCATTGTGAAATGAATATTTCTCATTGGTTGGTTGTTTTTAATTAGCAATATTTTTCATTGAACAAGCAAGATTTCAGGGCTAGGATTTAAAAAAAAAAATTCATCATAATTTTTTTTTTTCAATTCCTTGTAATTGTAAGTATTTTTAAAGGCTATTGGGATGTCTAAAATTCTGAAATATCTGCTTCTTGAAAAGATCCATCAATATCAGTGTTGATTGGTTTTTTTCCTTTACTCATAGGAAAGCTATAGCAGATGCATTTGATCGCCAAGTCAAGAAATACAACTTGAATCCCGGCACCCAGGCAAGTGAGCAGCATCCTGTTGCTCCTGTTAAAACTGCAAATCATTCTTGAGTCATCATAGCATGACGGCTTTTCATTCTGATTATTTCAATTATCAAAATCTATTCCACGTTCTAGTTAATGCATATCCAGTGTGAACTGTTCAACTGAAAATAAGACAACATTAAACCTTAAAGTGATCACTATAGTTGCCTTTAAATTCTTTGCTTTGTGGAATGTGTAGTAATTTTTTTAATTAATAACCTAATTCTAATGATTTATGATTACATAAATTGTGACAGTTGGATTCCATGTTTTGTCATTTGGGAAGAGGGCTACCAAGTTGTTTTTAAAATCTTTATGGGGCCATTCGTTTATTATGGTAGCACTGAGAGGGGGTGGAGCTGGTTTATTTAGGAGATTTTACCTACATGTGCTTATGGGGAAGGGTCTCGGCATAATGTGTAAGTACATTTATGCACAAATTCTGCCATAATTAAAAAATTATCCTGAAATTCTTAGTTCATCAATAACTTATCTATATTTCTAATATCACTTTGTGAAATCCATGAGTTCTAATTATTTTGAAAGGCTATAAATTATACTGGGTAGCCACAATGTTTTTTTAATTATCATCATGCTGATGCTACCTACTTTCACAAATGAATCCGCAAGATATGGCAAGGTAATACTTTGCCTGGTGAAAACTTGAGTCCGCCATTCACCTTTGTAAGGTTTAGTGTGTGTCATGCAAATTGTGATGGAATCAGGTATTTCAGCTGAACCAAAAATATCCATTAATAAAGATGCAATGTAGGTACTTCTTTATTTGCTACTTAAAACATGTGATTTAAGGGGTGGGTAGGTGGGGGGGGGGGTGTATTGTTGGGATGAAAAAAATGGGGAAATGAAATTAAGTCACTTTTTTTTTTTTTTTACTAACTTGTAATTGACTCAAAGATTATCAGGATGTCTAAAATTTTGAATGATCCATCTATCAGTTTTTTTTGTTTTCTTTTAAAAAATGGGGAAAAAAAATTAAGTCATTTTTTTTTTTTTTTTTACTAACTTGTAATTGACTCAAAGATTATCAGGATGTCTAAAATTTTGAATGATCCATCTATCAGTCTTTATTGTTTTCTTTACTCATAGGAAAGCATAGATTTTAATTTTTTTTTTTTTTTAAATTATGGGATATCAGTAAAGTAAAATGACTATTCAGCTCTGTTAGGCATATTCTTAATTTGATGGTATTTTAGGTCAGGCTGACATTTTCTCCCTATGGTTAACTTTTGGAGCAGAGAAGAAAATCAAATAAATGTCCAGGATTCAACACTGGAAAATGATTTATAAATGTTGGCTCCATGCAAATCATTTGTATATCTTATTTGTTTTTAACCACAAGAGCAATACAAAATGTGTTAATTTTATTAGAAATACTTTACAATTCAATCAATTATGTTACTGTATTACAAACGTAACCCAAGTGAATTAATAAGCCAAATAAGTATTACCAGTCATTTAATTTTAATTTTTTGACACGTGTTGTGAGTTCATGTGACATTTTTCATCTTGTCATGTTTGAACTGACTTTTCAAACTGACCATCATGTCTAGAGGAAGGGCAGTTATTGTCTGGGTGGATACAGCAATTTTATTGCAAGTTGTCCATGTTTAAAAATAAAATATTCATATTTGTATTCATGTTAGCAGACCACATAACAGGATCAGGAGTTTTTAACTGTCTCGACTGTCATAAACTGATTCTATCAACCATAATTTCAAGCTCTTTTTTTCAGTGATTTGAATTCATTGTTTTATTTTTTAGGATCCCCTATGATCTGTAGTAGGCCCCACTATAGAACCCATTGATTAAATTTACATGTACAGATCTGTTTACTCTCAAACTTTCAAAATCGTAAAACATCAACACAAAATCATTCAATACATTATCTTAATAGTAAAAAATAAACATACAGTATATATAATGTATACACCTCAAAATCGTACATTATATGCCAAAATCGTAAGCGTAAACAGGTCTGCATGTCCTGGAGAAATTTAGCTTTTAATGTACTTAAACTTACAATAATTAATATTTTTTATATATATATTCTTTCAGTAAACGATATAAGAATTCTTACTCTTCTGTAATGATTACAAGAAATGTGTTTCCAAATCAAACACAAATTTTGAAGCCCTTTAAAGTTCAGTTGTTGTGAGAAAGAAATGATTAAATATGTTTGTGTACAGGATTCCGCACTGTGAAATGATTTATAAATATTGGTTCCATGCAATTCATTTGTATTTATATCTTATTAGTTTTTAACCACAAGAGTAATACAAATCTGCCCAGAGATGTCCTTTTCAGAACTGCCACAAGTCTCTTTTTCATCTTGAGCTAAGTTATTTTTGTTTTGTTCATCACAAACACAGTTTAAACTACTTGTGAATTTCATTATAACTTAATCTGAAGGCAGTCAGCAAGTAACCAGGTAACGACTGTTGTAAAAATGACATATTTGTTACTTTGGAATATTTTCATACTGTTTAAGAATATATTTCTATGAGATTAGGCTAATAGGTTGTTGAATAAAAGTGTGATTCAAAGTACATTCATTTTTTTAAAAATCTGTTTGCTTTTGATAATTTTTCTAATGTATGTTGTAAGTTAAAGGGTATGAACATGTTTTCAATGTTCAGAGATACTCAGAAGTCAGCTCAGTATCAGCTTTTGCCAGGGCACCACATAAAGTTTAGGACATTGACCCATTGCTCGTGGTCAGCTTTTGCGAGGGACCCACAGAAATCTCTAATCCTTGGTCCAATATTCAGGGTCAGCTTTTGCCAGGGAGTCACAAATTCACTGGACATGTATCAGAATACAGGGTCCGTTTTGGACAGTCCATCTTCTTGACACAGTTAAAGCCAATGAAAATGAGAAAACAACAGTTTAAGCGATAAAATGCTCGCAGATGATCTAGTAATTTGGAGTTCTTGCAAACAGATTCAGCAAATGCAGAGCCTGCTGCAGGAGGATCTCATGCGAATAGAAACCTGTGCTGAAAAGTGGAAAATGGTTGTAAATGTTCAGAAGACTGTGTACTCGGTATTTACAAACTTTAATGGGCCTTACAAACGGAAAATCACTCTACACGAGGGTGATGAGCTAAAACGGGATAAAACACCTAAAATTCAAAATAAATAACCATATTCCTGAACACAGTGAAATAAAGCCTAGTGAAAAGATCTGGCTAACACGACTTGGGTGTCGATGCAAGCCTCCTAAAACGCTTTAATATGACAGTGTGAGGGTGCTGGGTGGCCAAGCGGTCTAAACTGAGTCCATCCCCAAGATTGTGAGCTGGTGAGGGGGCTGGGTGGCCAAGCGGTCTAAACTGAGTCTATCCCCAAGATTGTGAGCTGGTGAGGGTGCTGGGTGGCCAAGCGGTCTAAACTGAGTCCATCCCCAAGATTGTTAGCTGGTGAGGGTGCTGGGTGGCCAAGCGGTCTAAACTGAGTCCATCCCCAAGATTGTGAACTGGTGAGGGTGCTGGGTGGCCAAGCGGTCTAAACTGAGTCAATCCCAAGATTGTGAGCTGGTGCGGGTGCTGGGTGGCCAAGGGGTCTAAACTGAGTCTGCTGGTGAGGGTGCTGGGTGGCCAAGCGGTCTAAACTGAGTCCAGCCCAAGGTTGTGAGCTGGAGCGCAATCCCCAGCAAACGCCTACGCAAGCACAAACAACACCCACCAGCCCCCCCCCCCTTTTTTTTTTCCCCGGGTGGATGGGACTTGCGAACTCATCGGAGAAACCAAACTGAAATCAAACAGAAAGCCCCGTAGGCGGCATGACATTGACACAAGGAAAATTCCGACAACTCCTACGACGTGAAATGCTAAAGAGCACACTGAAACACACAAACATAGGCCTATATACTACATTGACTACATAATGTTCTTTTTTTTTTCCAGTCGACTTGAATACGTCTTGCCGTTGGCATGCAAAGGGCGAGCAATAAGGAGTGAGTAACGGTTGATTACAGCCTGTCCGTCCAGGCCTTATAGAGTCTAGGTCTCATATACGGTACGGATGTCGTAGAAATCCTGTGAGACATTTAACCACTTAACATTTGGGAAAGACATAGCTATTCTAATCGCGATGGCATGCTGTCGGATGGAGAAAAAAAAAACCCAACTCTTTACCAGAAAACAGGTAAAAGCTGCGGTTGATCCCGGGGCGATCACCACACGAAAGCTTTGAGTTACAAAGTCGATACCTATTGATGCTAAAAAAAAAGGCAGGTTTGCAGGGGCGTCATTTTAGTTGTTTTTTTTTTTTAAAGAGAGAGGGGTATGGGGGCAAAAACCAAACTTCGTTGGCTTGTTAAGTTGTTAATTAGCGGTATTGGGGGCGCCACAGTACATACCAATTTAAATAAAACCTGAAAATGAAGGGAGGCTGGGGGGCCATTGCCCCACCCTACCCTACCCAAATGACGTCCCTGTCGCTTTGAGGACAATTGAAGCATACAAAGAATGCTGTGGTTATAGTCTTCACAAATGGCTCATGTTACACTAGCGAAAATAAAGCTGGATCCGATCCACTCATTCAGTCATTGAAGGGAGGGTACCTCAAACAGAGGAGATGTCGGGGCCGAGTGCAAAGTATAGCAGAGTCTCAGTGCAGAAATCGGCCTTGAAACAAGTGCGCCGCCGATTAGCTAAAAGAAAACCATTTCCGTCCAACGAAGTGTTTACCGACTCACAGTTTGGTCTCGAGACTGTGAGTAGGTGCTCAATAAACACGAAAATGGTTAATGCTATACTAGATGAAATACGAGATATAAAGTAACATGGAGGTAGAGTGGTCCTACAAGGATTGATACCTTTCAACCGACATAATTTAATTTTAGTTCCTACTGTTTTGAAATTGTTAGCTAATCGATTACAAAAAAAAATATATTTTTTTACATAAATAATCTATGAATTCTTTTTTTCTATAAGTGGCAGCATGCTGGAAACACTAGGCTGGTCACCACTGAGGAACGACGACGACAATCCAGGGTCTCCATGGTGTACAAGATAAATAATGGGCTGGTCCACTGTTCCAGTATTAAAAAGAAACTAGTCCCTCTCCCCAATAGACAGCGACGAGGCCATGACAGGCAATTCAGGCTCATACCAGCAAGAAGCCAGTATAGGAGCTGCTCATTCCTGCCCAAGACAACCAGGGACTGGAACAAGCTTTCAAAAGGAACGGTTGAGGCGACAACACTAGACACATTTGTGTCTATTGCCTCAAGCCTTCAAACCTCTAGTGCATGATTCCCTCACAAAGTGGCACTGGAAATCAGTGAAAGTGCCTCATCAACACCAGGCACAGAAACATTGCAAATCCCATCTACATGCATAGGAGCCAAATTGATCAATAAATTGATCTTGGCACTTAAGATTATAGAAGAAGAAAGAAGAAAATAATGAATGTCACAATGTTGACTTGTTGTGTCATTGGAAAACATCTCTATCCAATGGTTTATTAATAGTTCATGCTAAATGTATGCGAAAATTTGAGAGGGGTTACCTTTTATTATTTTATTTTGGTGGGGAAAGGTTTGTCAGTACAACTAATGCTAATTAAAAAAAAGGAAAATACGCAAACTAAATATGTTAATATGCTATTGTCAGTTTTTCTCATTTCAAACTGTATTAGTATTGAAGAAAAGTATCTACACTGGGCAGTGGGTGAACACTGTTACACTGGTTAATCACATATTTAAATATTGGTACCGGTGAAAGATATAATATCAATATTTAGAGAAAAAAATGAGTAGGCCCATCTCAGTGCAAAAACGATTTATGAGAAATTAAAAAAAAAAAGGTATCTAAGAAGATTTTAATTACCGGTAAGTGACACTATGTTAAAAATTCTAAGTGTGGTCCAACAAACAGAAATAAAGTGACGGAATCAGAGCCATGAGAGTCAAAAGAAGTGGAGAAGTTCCGGTAACACATGACATGACCGGTCACCCATCTGATACAAGAACATCGACGAATACTAGTAATTTGTTTTTCTTTGTTTTTTTTTTTTTAATTATTACATGGGACAAAATAAGATCATATATCCTTTCTAAAAATTCATTAGTTCATACTGTACGCGCCATTGACTGATAAGTGTAGGGACCAGCTAATAGGCTGAGGGTTAAATTATTATTATTTTTATATCAGCACTGACACTCGGTGACACTGAGTGACTGTGTGTAATAACTGTAACTGTGTAATGTGACCGACTGCCTCTGTTCAAATCAGTGTTGACAGTTAATTTAATTTAATGATAATCATAATGAATGATAGCTGATCAGATCAGGTCTAAATATAGGTATACCCTAAATTTATTATCAATAAATGCCTACAATTACAATGCTTGATTAAAGTTACAACCTCGCCTCATACATAGGCAAACTAATAGTAATAACTAGGACTAAACAAAAGTTATTTTTTATCATTTCATTCATTATGCCTCCTAAATGGCAATGGGCATCTATACAGCTGTAGTATTTTTATATTTTTAAAAATGTTTTGACACTTTCATCAAAGTGCCTACAAAGGCCAAAATGGGGTAAAATAAACAAAATAAAAGCGAAATACTAAATAAATTTGAGTAAACTTAAAAAAAATTGACTCAACATTTGGGTTATAATGGCAAAGAAAAAACTTGCAACTTGGATTGATATCCATGAATGATGAGTATAAAATAAGTATAAGCCATTTAAGGTCCGTAAAAAAAAATGATTTACTAGTTATTAAATGTAATTAATCATGCCATATCTCGGGAGGTAGGGAAAATCATTAGGCCAGCCAATGGCAGTATTGGCATTATGTAATTTATGGCATTATCTTACCAGTCAGTGCCAGTAACACTGAAAACTACAATATGATAATGTAGTCATAGTCGTACAGTAAATTGGTAAAGGTAGGACTGGACTCAAAATTTTCATAACTTTAAGAGCTAGCTAGTTCGATAGATCCTCAAAAAAGCAATTCATTGATTCCAATCTTATGTTTGCACATTGTAGGTCAATTCACTGAAGAAAGTTAAAGTTTTTTTTTTTTTTGCGCAGTATTTTGGGATAAATCAGTTAAATATAGTATAAAACAATTTTAAAGTTACTAAAATAAGGACAAGGCAGCATGGGCGCCCGCAGAAAATGGGCAAAAATTTTTTAGTAATGTTTTAATGTAGTTTTAATTTACTGTAGCGTATTTGTATGGTGAACGAACAGACAAGACATCAGCTTAGTTACTTTCTCTTTATTTTCTCTTTACTTTAATAAATTTTTTGTCTAAAATTTTTTAATCCAATCAATCCAGGGGGGGCAAGTGCCCCCCCCCCTTGCCCTCCCCTGCGGGCACCCATGCTAGGCAGAGAGTTGAAATAGCTGATAAAAAGAGCAGTAGTAAATTAAAGTTATGTAAGTAATTAATGAAGATAACCATAAGTCTCCATATAGTTCCACGATTGTCATAATAACTTTATCCAAACAAGATATGCTGTAAATTCTCCTTTACTCAAAATGAGCTCATTAACGCTGGTTTTTGGGCATCGATTTTTGCTCATTCGGCAATAAAAAACTTGAAAAGAAGAAATTTTCTGTATATTTCATTCTCTTTCCGATTCGCTTTTGAACTTCTCTATAGATTAACGAATAAAGAAATATATAGCATTGAAATATGACGTCGACATGACGTCCTTGGTATTACAGAAAATTTGTTTCCTTTTTGTTATGACAACAATGTGACATCCTTGGTAATTGAAAGTGGGTAATGTTGACGTCATCGGTAGCGAAGTGGTTAATATTAAAAATAGTCATCAAATTTATTTACTGTTTCTACTTTAATTTAGCATCAATATTTCATAGAAATGTAAATTCGTTGCATTCAGTCTGTAGCCTTTTAGGCAACAGCGATTTATAAGCATCTGTTAAAGATGTTGCCTGCTATATTTGTCATTTCCTCCAGTATTTTATCAAGGTCTTTACTTTTTTACATTTGTTTATCCAAAAAGCCACATGTCCTTTTTTAAAATAAATGTGTAGTGTTGGTTGCTACTGAAAAAGTTTCTATGTGAAAAAGAAATCACTGAAAAATAAAATGAAAATTTTAATTTTGAGCCTGTTTAAACATTAAGCAAACATCATTATGGCATAGGCCTACATTTAAGTAATTCACATTTTACAAGCTAAATAAAACAATTATAAATAAGCCCTACTCATAAAAATATTGAGACTTGTGCTGCTTCGACAACTATTGCCTATAAAGTGCAAATAGGATTATCATTATGAAGTCATATGAGAGGTCTGTATTTAAACAAGTAATAAAGCAATGCTTTTATTATGAAGTATTTCAAAATACCAATTCATCTAAAGATTAAGCAAATCTCAATTTTTAAAGTTTATTTACTATTTCCATACTACACATGAGTCAGGTATCCCAGACCAAACTCCTAAATAAGCCTATTTAAATGAAGAAAAGCAACAAAATATTTATTTAAATCAAATTTTAAATATTAATATTAATTTATTTAGTAATCAGATTACTTAAGATTTAAACATGACTTGCTTAGGTTGATAGGATCAAATGTCTGCTATCTTAAAAATGGCACCCAGGGCAGAAACACCCATGTGGTGACTGTTTTGAAACTTTAATAAATTTGTTGGGGTAGGGTGGGGGGAAGTTTTATTTGCCGAATCTTGTAAATAGTTGGATGCTTTAAACCAGGCCTGTACAACATACGGTCTGAGGGTTAGCAGCCTGCAAAGAAACAAAATATTCTTTTTTATTATTACTTTCTTAATAGCTTATTTGCTCACATTATGAGTTGTGCAGGCCTGCTTTAAACAGTTGTAATCATAAAAATTGTGTATATTTGAGAAATGAAACAGTAAACTTACCTTACTTCAAAAAATTCTTGATAAAAATCGGGGAAAAATGGTATTGTTCAGCATCGGATTCTCTTTTATATGACATATCATACAAACTATGTAACTGAGAAATGACAAAGAAACACATATTTTCCCAAAGCATAAACAATGTTAACATTCAAGATAAAAAGTTAGGTAAAATTAAATTAAATTGAAATTTTTTTTAAATGCATAAATCAATTAATTAAATTTAAAGAAATAACAGGAATAAAAAATTACTAGTGAAATTGATTGGATAAGTAAGTCCAGCATTAAACAGAAACTCGTCCCTCTCCCATAGACAGCGACAAGGCCATGACATGCAATTCCGGCTCAAACCAGCAAGAAGGCAGAATAGGAACTGCTCATTCCTGCCAAAGACAATCAGGAACTGGAACAAGCTTTCAAAAGGAACATTTGAGGCGACAACATTTGACATATTTGCATCTATTGCCTCAGGCCTTCCAACCCAAAGTGCATGCTACCCTCACAAAGTAGCCCTTGCAACCAGGAAAATATCCTCATCAACACCAGGCACAGAAACATTGCAAATCCCCTCTACATGCATAGGAGCCAAAATGATCAATAAATTGAGCGTGTGCCCTTAATATATAGAAGATGAAGAAGATGTTAATATTTTATACAATAGCAAAGGTACTACAGGAAAAATAATCAATAATGAGTATTTGGAACAAATAGTACTAGGATTCATACCCGGGTTTGGCAAATAGTCATTCCAAAAAACTTGGATTCTGTACCCCGTGAAAATAATTACACGGTTGTTCCCTATAATTCATGTAAGTGTAATTCCAGCCACTTCAATTAAACATAACAATATTTTTAATATTGGCTAATTTTGATGTTTATTCAACAGATAGGCCTATTCTCTACACCAGAATCACAGTGTTCTTAAAAAAATGGCAAATCCTAAAGCGCCAGGTTCTGTAATGAATACCATGTTGGTGTTCACAATTATGATGGTGGTGCTGCCAATATTTTCATACTTCTTTAGCAAATCAGTAATATTTGAAGGTAAGTAAATGTCTTTATTATTGAATTTCTTTATTATAATTGTATCAACAAAAAATGGTCCAATTGATAATTTTTTAATTAAAATGTTAAAAATATTTAAGAGGTAAATTTTATCTGTCAAATATCTTTGAGCAATATGATTATTTTAAAAATTGAGAATTTATAACTGAAGTTAATGTTTCTAGCTGTATCGGATTTTTCTTATAAGTTATGTTAGTATTTGGGCTTTGCATGGATTTCCAACACACACCCCCCCCCCGTTCCCTTTTTTTTTTCTTTCTTCTTTCTTTCCTTCTCAGACACTTTAAAGTGATTTCAGTCTTATCTTCACATGGTTAGCCCATATCATGATTGGGTTTATACTTTTATAACTGAAGTTAATGTTTCTAGCTGTATCGGATTTTTCTTATAAGTTATGTTAGTATTTGGGCTTTGCATGGATTTCCAACACACACCCCCCCCCGTTCCCTTTTTTTTTTCTTTCTTCTTTCTTTCCTTCTCAGACACATTAAAGTGATTTCAGTCTTAGCATCACATGGTTAGCCCATATCATGATTGGGATTATACCAAAATTATCAATAAATTGATCGTGGGCCCTTAATATATAGAAGAAGATGCCTTTTAGTGTTAGAACAGGTGGCATGTTTTTTCAGTATTGTATCAGTAAGGGTAGCTTCAAAACATTGTGGTACCATTATGCTAATATGTTAGAGCATTGTTGAAATACACTGACATAATCACACATTTATTAAAGTAGTGTGCTTTTTCCTTTCTGTAGGTGTGTTTGGAATGATCCACACAAGCAGCTACTTCTATGCTGCAGTAGTTGCAATATCTGTAGTTCATGTTATCTTGGGCATGTTCATTTATGTGGCTTGGAGTGACGATTCTAGACCTGTTCCCCAATTCAAAGCCGACTGATCATCTTTGATTCCCTCCAAGTGCAGTGTGTATGGTTTGGTGCTGATGTGACTAGTGTGTGAAGTGCTGTTGAGTAGCAGTGACCAGGGTGTGAAGTGCTGCAGAGTAGCAGCTATGTATTAATAACTACTTGTCCTAGTTGTAATTTGTTATAGTGGCATTCATTACTCAAATTATCTCTCTTTTCACTTTTTTTAAATATATATTTTTTTCTATCGGGAAGTATGAAAAGGTATTTCAAAGTTTTAGTTTTATCAACTTCAGGAAGAAGTGGAAGTAGAATTTAAAAACAAATGCAAATGTTTTAATTAAAAAAAATTATTAGCTTGTGTATTTTGATCCAAATGGCAGTTCTAACGGGAGACTTAATTATTAATGCTGGCTGACTATTGAGTGACATGTTTTTTTTGTTTTGTTTTTTTTTCTTGAAAAATCCATGACTGTGTAGTTTTCCTTGGTCATCAGAATTTGGTGACAGATAATATTAAATTGTTAAAAAGGTCCTGCCACTAGCTTATTAAAAATGAATAGGGGACGAAAGCTTATTCATTATTTGTGTAAAACATTTTTGGTACAGAAAATAATTTTAAGTTCCTCTAAATATTTAATGAAAATACTATAGTTAAGTTTCTCATTCTGCTGAGCATTTGACATTCTTCTCTACTCTCTAGTTCTCAATTACCTGTGAGGGATTTTTAAATCTGTTTTAAAGAAAATAATATTTATAGTCTTGATTTGTCAGCTTGTTTATCCAATATTTATGAACTGTCAAAGTTTTTAGGACCACCTTATTGCTGTTGTTTTCTTTTTAAATTAAAGAAATGCTGTCTAAAAATTGTAGGTAAAGTTTGACCAACTTATTACACTACTGTTTACTCTTTTAGAATCAACGTTAATAATAATGACCTTTCTCTTCTAGAATCAACATTAATATAGATTACCTTGGATATGAATTTATCGCCATTATTAAAAAATGAAATCAGAAACATTTTCCTAAAGTAACTTAAGTACAGTAGTGATGTGCTGAAACTAAATAAAATTTTATGTTCTAGAGGACTGTCACTGTTTTTGATTCCATTACTTTTGTGTCATTTTATGCATTAATGTTTTAACTAATATTTATCTAACAAAAGTTGCCATGTGTGTGTATTGATTGTATAAGGATAATATTAATATATATTTATTTTTCATTAGGTAAGCCGTAGTGCATTTTATACACCCTCACAAAAGTTATGAATGTCAAACAGACTTCAAATTTAAAAAAAAATAAGCATTTGCTGTACTAAACAATTAACTATATAATAATGTATATATTGTTTGTTCTACACATGGCCTTTTTTGTCATATTATTGTAATCATTTTATTTTTTCCTTTTTCTCATTTTTTAAAGAATGTGAAGTTGTTATAACTTATAATAAAAGCCAATTTAGCATGAATTACTCATTCTTGTTGTACCGGTAATTATTTCTACACATTTTTTGTTTTTTAACTGAAAAGTATTTTTTATTTATCACTCCCCAATTTATAAGTAACAATAAGACCACTTGTGGGATGCTTCTAAAATCATCAATTTTTTTCCCAAACTATACATTTCTTGAAGGAGTATGTTTCTTTAATGCCCTGTGCGAAACATCAATTTCTCATTGTAACAGAAACTACTGAATGTTTGAAAAATGTTTGTATATTTCACTACCGGAAACATACTGTTATTGATTTGATATTTTTAATACTATTGATTAAACACAGTAATTATGATAATGGAATTAAATTGCGTTTTTTAAAAATGGCAGTTGTTTTTAATAATATAGAAAAACAACATAACTAGTTAAGTATCACACCTTGTGTGGACTCAATGTAACTTCCTTGTTGTGGCCACTTGGGAACCTCATTTTGTCCACCTTGTAACCTTAATTTGTATGCCCTTTTTGGCTTTGTAATTTCCTTGTGTGGCGACATTGTAACTTCCTTGTGTGGCCACTTGGGAACCTCATTGTATGTCCACTTTGTAACCTCTAATTCTATGCCCATTTTGACTTTGTAATTTCCTAGTGTGACCACTTTTTAACTTCCACGTGTGGCCACTTTGTAACTTCCACGTGTGGCTGCTTTTTAACTTTATTTTGTGGTGACTTTCTAAATTCCCTGTTTGCAACTAATGTGGCCACTTTGTAACCCTATGTAGACACATAGTAAACTTGAGTGATCAATCTATAAGCATGTCAGTTAAATCTACAGCTTAATGGTACTGCTGTCATATATCAAAGCAAGAGGCTTTTACCTGGTGTGTTGGGCCACAAAGATGTGTCATGGAAGTGTTATTTCAGATGATTTAAGTAATAACAATTTTTGGTAGCATAGGTATTTTGTGGATTGGATCTAAAAAGCTATGTTAAGATGGTCCTGATAATATAATCCATTTAAACATAATATATTCATCAATAATTTCTGAGACAATGCTTTTGACTCAAAAAGCAGTGTCTTGTACATAATTTATAAGAAAAATACTGGGAGGACTGGGTTCAGGTTGAAGTAACAAGAAATATACAAAGGGTGGAGGAAAACTTGAAAGAGGACAACACTTTTGGACAGCAAAGAAAGAGTGAGACAAACACTTGTTAGCATGTTGTAAAGTTGTGTGGAGTGTTTTCTCTGAGTGTCTTAGCTGTTGAAATTGTTTTGCCTTAAACATTTGCTTTTTTTTGTTTTGTCCTTTGTCAGGTTTCCTCTACCCTTTGTATATTTCAATAAATTGCTGGTTGGCATCCTGTATATCAATTCATCCTATGTGCATACTGATGTTGGTGTTCATGTAAATTTTGTCATTGCCTTTTATGTACTTGATTAGTTGTTGTTACCGATGGCATGGCTCCATCATTTGTGCTGGGTTCATACTAATTTATTGAGCTCATATATTGAGTAATCCAGGGTAAAGGTCCAGAGGTTGGAGATGTAATTTACTAGCATCATAGGAACTGTAATAAAATCTGTCTCAACCAGATTGCCTTCAGTAAATTCTAAAACCATCAGCACAATGGTATTGTGATAGTGAAGTTAAAATTTTAAAAAGTGTTATTTGGATATTTAGTGATATGATTTTGAAAATTGTCATTTGGACATTTATTGATGTAATAATTAAAAAAAGCTTGTTAAGGACTAACAATAACACTTTTTAAGTCAACAATAACACTTTTTAAGTCTTTTTCCTGTTATAAAATTCATAATAGGTATTATAATACTCACACATGCCTTTTCAAAGAGGGATTGGAAATGTGTCATTGTTTTCATACGCAATGTTTAGAAAAATTATTATACTCTTTTTAATAAAATAAATAACAATAACAATACACTTGCTTTTTTAAATTTTAAGTTATATATCTAGCAACGTTTTCAGAATAGAATAATTGTTGATGAAATTATTGAAATTTAAACTTTTTGTTTATTGCAATTTTCAAGACATGTTAGTAATTTTGGATGTTAAAAATGGAACCTGCTGGCTGCATGTAACCCTGTGTATAAAAAAATCATGGGTGTCGTTTCTTGACTCACTTTGAGGACTACTGTTCCATACATTCCCTTATATGGTCTGAACTAAATCCTCTGCTCTGGACTCAGACTAAAATTTATACCAATAGATTTTAACTAATGAATTATTTTAAACAGCACATTTTTGGCCTAGAAAATTTTAGTTTGTTACTTTGATAAAAGTATTTTTTTAAGAGAATGCCATGTGATTAGTTGATGTATGAATGCTTCCAAATGATTTGGTACCGGTATGTGAAGGGAGAGAAGTATAAATGCCTTTGATGTAATGTTATTTTGTTGCAACTGCCATCTATTGTGTGATGCAAATCTTGAATGTAATTGTAATTTGTAATCAAGGAGATTTTATGTATAAATTATTAACAGGATTAAAATGTTATCTTTAATTTCATACAATGGTCTTGTGTTTTTTACAATATGTATTATAGCAAACATATGCTTTCAATCATTGAACCCTTGGAGGAACACAATAAAATCGGCATCCTTCCGTGCAATAAAATAGACACTCTAAAATATGACACTACAACAAACATAAGGCAGGTTCATTAGTATTCATACTAAATTCTATCTTCAGCTAGAAAATTGTGTATTTTTAATGGTTGGGGGGGGGGGGGGCTAAAGATTTTGTTCTTGATACAGAAAGAGCAGTTATTTATGTAGCATAGCTGAAATATCTGGGGAGATTATATTTCAATGTTTGAATTGATAAAATATTCTAAAATATGACACTACAACAAACATAAGGCAGGTTCATTAGTATTCATACTAAATTCTATCTTCAGCTAGAAAATTGTGTATTTTTAATGGTTGGGGGGGGGGGGTGCTAAAGATTTTGTTCTTGATACAGAAAGAGCAGTTATTTATGTAGCATAGCTGAAATATCTGGGGAGATTATATTTCAATGTTTGAATTGATAAAATATCGGGGGAGATGATATTTCAATGTTTGAATTGATAAAATATCTGGGGAGATATTATTTCAATGTTGAATAGCTAGAATATTTGGGGAGATGATATTCAAACACACCTAAGTCTTAGTGTAATATTTTATTATTGAAAAATTTAATCAAACATTACTTTGTATTGAAATTACTATATAAGCACGGCTTAAGTCTGATAACTGATAAAGTATCTGAAGATAAGTGCATGTTGACAGCAGAATCACCAAATGTATCCAAGCATTCATTAAGTAAATATTGATAGCTGAATCACCAAGTTCACATTGAGTGCAGCCCAGAACATTTTTTGTAAATATATCTTAAAGTCTTTATAGAAGGAGACCCTTTCACTCTTAACACTGATGATATTGTTAGTAATCATCGCTACACCACACCCAATGGTGGTACATACATGCAGATTTTAGGAAGTGAGGCCTGTTTACAACAGTGATTACTTTAGTGTCACTGGAACAACGATCGAGATATTCTGGCGTGTCTGAGTTGTGCTTATTTCACCTATCATGATTATGAACCCAACAGAAACATTAGATCGCAATAAATGAGACAGCAAGCTGTTGTTTGTTTTTTTTCTAATTTACTTATTTTTTTATTAATTGAACAATATGTATAAAAAATATTGTATAAATTTATCTCTGCCCTTTCAGTGGTAACATTTTGTTTCAAAAAATCTAGTTCTTGATTTTCTTAAATAATTATGGCTCAATGAATAATTAATGGTATACATTTTTTGACAATTCGATCACAAAATTTGAGTCAAAATTTAAACATAAAATACATTGTGTTCATTTCCATAATTTTCTTTTGAGGCTGATGGAAAGCCTCCATGCTCAAAACTATGGAGCTAATTTCTCTGTTGTTGGTTTTTTAAAAAAATTCTTAAAGCTCCAAGATTATTACAAAGGCTTATACTCCTGATTTAGTTACACTAATCAATAAGCTTTATATTTTTGTTTCGCATCTCATGACCCCACGTTTCTAATTCTTTTTTTTTTTTTTTTTTTTTAGTTCATTCCATGATGTTTTTTTTTTTCTTTTTTTAACCTTTTTTTTTTTGTTTTCTTTTTTTTTTTTTTTTTTTTTTTTTTCTTTCCCTCTTTTTTTTTTTTTTTTTTTTTTTTTTTTTTTTTTAGATCATTCCATGATGTTTTCTGTTCTCTGGTCTTAACCTTTGTTGATCTGTGTTCTCTAGCCCATTCCATTTCCATGGTGATTTCCGCGTTCTCTACTCCATATCCATTGGGGATTCTGCGTTCTCTACTCCATATCCATTGGGGATTCTGCGTTCTCTGCTCCATTTCCACGGGGATCTCTGTATTCTCTATGGTTCAATCGATGTAAACTGCTGGATTCTCGTGTTCACTCCAGGGTAAAATCCGTATTTTTCTCTGCCACATGCTTCTAGGGGGGAAGTACACAAAATTATTAATGAATAGAAATGAGAAAAAAGATGGCTAGCCCCACACTATCCAACGTCCAAGTCGAGGATTTAGTCCAATTAATAAATACATTTTAAAGTTTAAGGTCAATATGTGTCACTGTCAAATCAACTGCAAGTTTAGTTATTTCAAGTACCGGTAACTAGAATCTTTGTTTATGTCAATCGTTCCAGCTTAAGTAACTGATAACACAGTAGTCGAATCATGCGCATGGTAGCGAAACTACTCATCCTACTATAGCAAGATTTATTTTTTATTTTAAAAAAATTACAAATCTAATTTTCCTTATAAGGTTACTTATAATTTGTATGGGTATAGTTTGTATGGGTATAGTTTGTCATATCAAAACTATTCCTGCTTTAGAGGCACTCTAGTGGCATAGGTAGGGCTGCCATCAGGGCCGGCGCTAGGGGTTGGCGAAGTGGGCGACCGCGCCCCGCACGTCACTGTAGTATATTTATAATATACCTAAGCCTACTAATAGTTCCTAATCCAGCCAACACAATATTCGGAGTTATTTTGATAGTCAAATGCTCTGAAATTTCGGAAACTAAGCGAGTGAACAAATATCCGTTATGAGGCGTCCCATTATGACCAGCAAGCCCCCAGTACGACTATAACGTGTCTTAATAATCCTATCGGCGGAATATATAACGTCAGCGGCACCGCAAAATTCAAATTTGCCCAAGGCCCCCCACCCTCCCTATCACCGGCCCTGGCTAACAAAAGTCCTCAGATGATAAAGAGGACGTACGATTGTCATCAACTCCGGTTACCAACCCGTAGCCATCTCCTAGGACTACGCCAATGTTAAGTGTTGTAAAATAGAGACGTAAAGTTAAACTACATGTAAAGAAGAAGAAAAAAGGAAAGTTGAACTACATAAACGAGTTTTCTTATTGTAAATAGTTTAAATCATAAACTTGCATCAGTAAGCGAGTGTTCAGTAAACATTACATTAGTGTTTAATTTAACAAGCGACAACGGCGGTCCGTTGATTTTTATAGCTGTCATTGTGCGTGACACCGTGAAACACACAACCATAAGCTTTTTGCTGCTGAACCAGGTTCGTCACTTTCAGAACCCGGTGTTACGAAAAATATGTTAACTTTTCGTAAATGAATTTTTATTCCGAGACCACCCTTAACACGATTCGACGCGTGCCTATGAATCCAGTACATTCTTATCGGGAACGGAGTTATAACTTACGCTGCCCCATGTCAAACATTCAGCTGCCCCGTCATATCGAGCTGCACGAAAACCTGTGCATCGGGAGTTTTTCAGTGCTTCTGTTAAAAAAAAACCCACACTTGGGCATTTTTTAAATCAATTATTTCTTATTCAACTTAATGATTTTAACTGTTTATCAGTTATCATGAACTCGTGTTGCCATTATGCGTTATGATTACAAAAATGGTTCCGGAATCAGAAAGTTTCGAGGGTTACCTTACTAACCCTTACCATTGGACTAAGTACTGCCAGCTCACGTGCTTAGGTCACGGAACAGAAAAGTATGTTTCTCGGTAACACGAAAAAGCAAGTAAGAACTTATCAACCGGGGACGGACAGGGGGAAAACCATGACAAAAGCCATATTCCTGGAAAGCCGCCCGGACAGGGGCCTAAAAAAACAAAGAGGACATGTCCGGGGAAACCCGGACGCATGGTAACCCTAGACATAGTAAATTGTCGTACCAAAAGGATGGCCAGGTAGAAAATGCTGTGCACGGCCAAGATGTAAAACGTTTCTGTGTTGTAGACGGCCATAAGTGCTGGGGCCAGTACGAACATCGTAGCGGTGATGCTGCGGCCGACTAGGTCCACCAGGAAGAGCACGAAAATGTTGGGCACGATCATCATGGCGGCCACATCCGGTTTGATGGTGAAGGCCACGGCGTTGACGCAGATGAAGGTCACCAGGAGAGCGATAGATTCTAAGTTGATTGCCAGTAAGGTCGACTTTTCTTTGCGTTGGGGGACGGGAATCTGCGTAATTTTAGGCATGTTTTGAGCGTTAGGCGGGTCTCAAATTGTGTAAACTGCTTTTTCCTGACGTCTTCTCGAGGTTTGTTTGATCTTTGAGCTGCTTGGATCTATGCGAGACTAGAATTCATAAAGACTTAGAAATCGTTCAATCTCTACTGTTATGGTCACAACTACCTGTGAAATATAATACAAAAAGTATACATTGGGGGAGAACTTATCTGTTAGGGGCTGGATGTGTTCAAAATATCTTGAAACTAAAAGTTAAATTAAATTCACTTGAATAAGCTGTTTATGCAGTCTTGCACTCCGCAAAGGAATGATTGAATATGTCAAGAACGTAAATTTTTGTGTTCCTGGATATATGTTATTTTGTAAGGTAATTAACAATGCTGTAAAATATTCAAAACAATAATCTCCATTTTTCCAAATCAGAATAATCCAGTATAATTTTTTTCTCTTACGCAATTGGTTTTTGTTGATATTGCTAATGTTGGTGTTTGCTTGTTAAGTTAACTGACTATGACTAGCTTTGAGTGACTAACTTTGAGTAATATTATAGAGACTTTGATAAATCGCTCTTACTAAGAGCCAGTATTAGGGTGAACGGCTGTGAGGTATGCTAGGTCCGTGTGATGTAGCGGTACGGAGAACTCTATGTTTAACATTAGTTTTTTTTTTGGTGTTGGTCCAGGATGTAGGATTGGGGTGAGTGCAATGGCATAACAAGACTCGGAGCCACCTGGGGTGAATTCACAAACGTGCCCCCCCCCCCCCAACAGTAAAATTCATATAATTTACACAATGTTAAATATATGGAGCCCAAAAGTGTCCTGGGGTGAGTGCAATGGCATAACAAGACTCGGAGCCACCTGGGGTGAATTCACAAACGTGCCCCCCCCCCCCAACAGTAAAATTCATATAATTTACACAATGTTATATATATGGAGCCCAAAAGTGTCCACTCTAGCCGCAGCGCCATAGGCTTAACACTGGATGAGGGGGCATACTTCTTGGGAGGTGTTGTGATACTGTTAGAGGGCGGGCAGGGTTGGTAAATGGTTTAATTGGGCTTTTGGGGAGTGTAATTGGGATTTTTGGGGGTTTAAGTGGGCTTTTGGGAGTGTTTAAATGGGCTTTTGGGATTATTTAAGTGGGCTTTTGGGATTATTTAAGTGGGCTTTTGGGATTATTTAAGTGGGCTTTTGGGATTATTTAAGTGGGCTTTTGGGAGTGTTTAAATGGGCTTTTGGGATTATTTAAGTGGGCTTTTGGGATTATTTAAGTGGGCTTTTGGGATTATTTAAGTGGGCTTTTGGGAGTGTTTAAATGGGCTTTTGGGATATATAAGTGGGCTTTTGGGATTATTTAAGTGGGCTTTTGGGATTATTTAAGTGGGTTTTTGGGATTGTTTACATGGGCTTTTGGGATTATTTAAGTGGGCTTTTGGGATTATTTTAGTGGGCTTTTGGGATTATTTAAGTGGGCTTTTGGGAGTGTTTAAATGGGCTTTTGGGATATTTAAGTGGGCTTTTGGGATTATTTAAGTGGGCTTTTGGGATTATTTAAATGGGCTTTTGGGATTATTTAAATGGGCTTTTGGGATTATTTAAGTGGGCTTTTGGGATTATTTAAGTGGGCTTTTGGGAGTGTTTAAATGGGCTTTTGGGATTATTTAAGTTGGCTTTTGGGATTATTTAAGTGGGCTTTTGGGATTATTTAAGTGTGCTTTTGGGGGTGTTTAAGTGGGCTTTGGGGGTGTTTAAGTGTGCTTTTGTGGGAGTTGAAGAGAGTGTGTTGGACGTGGGTAGGTCCTAGGAGGTTGGTTGGAGAAGGGAGGGAGGTGAAGGGAAAATAATTGTCCAAAGCCGCACACAAGTGGCAACTGGTCATCTATTTAAAAAAAAAATAAACAAATTAATTATGGTTATTTGTTTTTGAGCTAGTGAAATGCAATGAAGATTACACAAGAATCTTAAAGGAAGTTAACTAAATTAATGAACCTGTCGAATGCTGATGTGCTTTCCTTAACAAACTCAGTGCTCTTCCATGGTACTATTGAGGCATGGCGGCATCTACGGTGATGTCAATGGGGCGTTCATTATGCGACATTGGAGACGCTGTTCAAATGGGTGTCAAGATGGTGCGTAGCGATACAGTTAAAATATTGTCGTATCATGGTGTGCAACAATGAAGACGCGGTGCGCATGAAATATAAATCTACAATAATGTAATACCCTCTCATTGTACACATGCTGGTATGAAATACTCTCTTATTGTACACATGCTGCAATGTAATACACCCTTATTGTACACATGCTGCCATAATGTAAAACTCCTTTATTGTAAAAATGCTGCCATAATTTAATGCACCCTTATTGTACACATGCTGCCATAATGTAAAACCCCTTTATTTTACACATGCTGCCATAATGTAATACTCCCTTATTGTACACATGCTGCCATAATTTAATGCACCCTTACTGTACATGTGCTGTCATAATGTAAAACCCCTTTATGTACACATGCTGTCAGTGAACGTTCTTAATTTTTTTTTACCATCAAGTCAGTACATGGATGAAATTGAAACACAGCCCTTTTAACCGCACGGGGTCTCGAGGGCCTCGAATATTTAAGGAGCCCACAGGTGTGATGTGGAAAAAAAAGACAAACTTTTAACTTTGAAAACAGGGGGCGTCCAAAAGCTACGAGATGGCTCTACTGCCAAAAGCTACGAGATGGCTCTACTGACAAAAGCTACGAGATGGCTCTACTGCCAAAAGCTACGAGATGGCTCTACTGCCAAAAGCTACGAGATGGCTCTACTGACAAAAGCTACGAGATGGCTCTACTGCCAAAAGCTACGAGATGGCTCTACTGACAAAAGCTACGAGATGGCTCTACTGCCAAAAGCTACGAGATGGCTCTACTGCCAAAAGCTACGAGATGGCTCTACTGCCACAAGCTGCGAGACGGCTCTACTGCATGCTTGTCCAAATATAACAATTTATTTTCCGAGTTTTTCTGATAATTCGAGTCAGAAGAAAGAATCTTTTCTGAACTGAAATTCATAAGTCTCATATCTATGCTATGAGGTCTATTGAAAATGATGTTAACACAGTCGACTAGATTACGGAAATGTCATTATTCTTCGGCACCAGGCACACATGTTTGATCGTTGAATAGATAACTATTTATTTTGAAAATAATGTTTGTTTTTGAATTAAAAACTGTATAGTTATTGCATGTTAAAAGTCCGAAGTTTCTCCTGACAGAGTTGCGCCTTTTCAATAAAAAGCCGTTTTAATTTTGAACAGTTTTTAATTTTGCTATAAAAAAACCTAATTATATTTAATTGTTTATTTATACTACATCGAATACTACATCGAATAAGACTTCGCTATTTTTGGACTCTTTTTCTTCAGTTTTTCCTACAGCAACATTTAAAAATATTAACTGTTAATGCCAGCCTGAAAATTTTTAGAAGGAAGGGGCGATAACATGTTAAACTGAATGTGGCGCCAAAGTTGGCAAAGGCCGGCCCTGAAACTAAGTGTACCCTTTTGTGTCTGATGTGGTCAAAGGTTCGTGTCATGATGAGGAAACGCATTGTTTTACCAACAGTCTGAGAGGCAGCACGGCTCAAAGCGACATGGCTTTAACACGCTGCAGAAACTGCTTGAACTTGAAATAGACGCCTGAAGATAGAAACTTCTCAAAATGAACATTTAGTTAGAACTTAATGAACGGTTTAATCTTTAAAAAAAAAATTATACAGTTTGGGTTTTATAATAATTATCTCTTTAGATAAAAGCAAATGCAGATACCTAAGACATTTGAGAATCAAGATGTAGACCACAGCCAGGTTAATTAAAACTGTCTTTATTCCAACCCTTACTTATCAGTGTCAGACCTAGACCATGAATGAAAGTCTCGAGAGAAAAACATTCACCTGCGCGATTTGCTGTTTAAGGCGAGCAGCTTGTAAAACAGGAAGGGACCACATTCGGAGCATGGAAATACAACTGGTTGTTGCCATTCCAATCAGTCAGTATATTGTACAACAAGATATTAAATGGCTTGTCCACCTGGTCAAAATGCATATCAACCCGCCTGCATTGCAAACTTACAATGGGGGCTAGCAGGCCCTCTGGTTTCAGAGCCAGAAAAGACCCACGCCGTCAATGGGTTGACTGTGTTAAGGGCAGCCTGAAAGGCCTCAGACCTTGCGACTGATCACCATTTATACCTCCTCCCCACAACGCATCGTCTATAAAAGCGTACAGAAAAGGAAGAAATCTGTTTAGGAAATTTGTAATATAGCTATAATGTTGCTTGTTCTATTAAATTAAAATAAAATTCATTTTTAGCAATCCCCCCACCCCCAACCTTTATTCATAAACTAGGTCATTTTTAAGAGGAGTGAGATGCGCACTTGTCTTCACACCACAGTTCAATCAACACACATACCGCACCAGTTGGCACGTCTGGGTGTAAGGTTATCATTAACATCACACCATCAATGTAGACGCACCGCCATCTCATTAAATGTATTATGTATGTTATTGTTGATATTATCATGTCTAGCCTCCAGGATGCAAGATGAGTTTAGCAACATTTTCAAATAACACAAATAATTCCCTGATATTTATTTGTGTACACCATTGCTTAGGGTTTCAGAATGTCGTAACATTATCATTTTTTTATGTATACAGACGTGATATAAATATAATGGAACAAGATATATTTATCTTGCTTTCCTTGCTTAATCTGCCTTTCTGTGAAATTAAACTTCCCAAAGTCCACGATGCCAGACGTACTCACTCCTCCACTGCAGTAGCAAGACGATTGGATTAAGCCACGGAGCTGCAGCTGATGGGGATTTTGATAACGTTGCAAGTCAGGTTTGAGTAGAAGCAGTTTAGAGTTTGATTTGAGGTTAGGCATCTCTTAATTTTGGTACAAAGGTAGTAATGGTTAGGCTTAGTATCGCTTAAGTGTGGTGAAATGGGAGTTAGGGTTACGCATCGTTTAAGTTTGGTGCAGTGTTAGTTATTGCTAGGGTTAGCATCGCTAAGTTTCGGTGCAATGTTAGTAACGGTTAGGCTAGGCATCGTTAAGTTTGGTGCAGTGTTAGTAATGGTTAGGCATCGCTAAATTTGGGTAAAATGATATTTATGGTTAGAATCCCTAAACTTTGGTTAAAAGGGAAATTGGGGTTAAGTTTGGCATCATTAAAGTTTAACGATATGGGAGAGTTAGAAGGCAATTTTCTGGCTCACGTAGAAGTGGTGAGTTTACTTGTGGGGAGCTTAATTTCTGTGGAATTATTCAACAATTTTAAATATGTAGGTGTGTCCAGCGTATAACTTTTGAGCAGTGGTCAGGGAGAATAATTACTGTAGTTGTAAGGTGAGATATTAATTTAGAGGATTATTCACCAGTGATGGTTCGTTTCATGGCCGTGGCAAGCCACAGGTGTATCCGGGGCAAAGCACACTTATCTCCCCTTTGTCCGTCCCTGACTAGTTGTACAAAGTTTTGGAGAATTATTTAAAAACAACAACAATAATGTTATGATTGATCAGCATGTAGTTTCTGTATTATACATTTATGTTAGGTTAATGTTAACATACATAATTTTACACCCCCCCCCCCCTTTACTGTATACGATCTTTCTACAGATATGGCCGACGATTCATTGTTACCACCGTGCTTCTGATGGTTGAAAAAAAATATCTCAGAAATGCAGCATGATCCGTTTATGCTTGAAGATGAAGAGATTAGACCAATGTGGTTGTGTTTTTTGTTTTGGTTTTAATTAGCTCGTTAGACACGTTGAGCTGTACCACCGGCATCCTCACCCCAATCAATGGCTAGATGCGACACCCACAGCCACCCGGCATGTCCACGGTGCTTGACCTGTGCCCCGTCGTTCACTCACAGTAGCGTCATGGAACAACACGTTCCCTAGCTTACATCACAGTTTTTACCAGTCAAAACAAAAGAGGAGACGACATGTCATAATTGCGTCAAATCTTTACCCCGATTCGTTCACACTCCAATCCTGTGTCGCAAGGATGCCGTATCCAAGCCTCAACAAATTGAGTAGCTTTTACGACCACATTTCCCTGAACAACATTTTAGTGATAGACAGTCATGGGCTGATCATTATCATGTACATTGCTGCAAGCGCTGTGTCCTTCTACTTGGAGCCGATCGTGGGTGTATCAATGTTCGTGGCTAGCAGCCTCATCATCTACTTGGCTCAACATCTCGACATATCAAGAGTGCTCCCCTTCATGATGGCAAGCCTGGTTTACTTGGTCGTGTGCAAATTCGAAGCCTTCTGCGTTATATTCGTCCACGCGTTGTTCTACGGCATGATCTTGTCGTTGCAGGTAAGATTGCAAAAAAAAAAAAGCGTTTATAATATGCTGTGGAATAGGTGATCGTATTAGGAGTTGGAGCTTAGTATCTGAGGAGGGAGTGAGTGGGTTGGGGCTAAAGGTCTGAGTGGGGACAGTGGAGTGGGGGCCCAGAATCTTAATGGTGACTGAATGAGTGGGAGCTGTGGGTCTGAGGGGGGACTGAGTGGGTTGGAGCTGAAGATCTGAGTAGAGACTGAAGGAGTGGGGACCCAGAGTCTTAATGGGGGACAGTGATTGGGCGTAGGGGACTGAGTGCCTGAGTGGACTCATTGAGAATGGGCTGAGTAAGTGGGAGCCGAGTGTCTGAGCTGGGACTGAATGAGTGGGGGCTGTCTGTGTGACGGGTGAGAGCCTGAGTGGAGGCTGAAAATCTGATAAGGGACGCAGTGAGTGGGGGCCGAGATTCTTAATAGTGAGTGAATGATTGAGAGATGAGAGTCTGAGTAGGGGCCGAATGAATTGGAGCTGAGAGTGAGTAGGTCCTGAGAGAGTTGGTGCTGAGAGTCTTAGTGGGGCTGAGAGTGTGTAGGTCCTGAGAGAGATAGGTGCTGGGAGTCTTAGTGGGGCTGAGAGTGTGTAGGTCCTGAGAATGTTGGGGGCTGGGAGTCTTAGTTGGGCTGAGAGTGTGTAGGTCCCAAGAGAGTTAGGTGCTGGGAGTCTTAGTTGGGCTGAGAGTTTTAGTTGGGCTGAGAGTGTGTAGGTCCTGAGAGAGTTTGGGTGCTGGGAGTCTTTCGGGGTGGGGGTGGTGCTGAGGGTGACTAATGCCTGAGAGAGTTGGTTGTCTTAGTGAGGGCTGAGAGTAAGTATGGGATTTCTGTCTGAGTGGGGATTTTCTGAGTGAGTGGGGGCAGAGAGTGTGAGTTGAGGCTGACATTTAAATTGGGATGAGAATCTGAGTGAGTTGTGAATACGTTTGTTATTAAGAGTAATTGTTATTTACTTGCTTACGTTTACTTTTCTAAGCCCATTCCCTCCCCTTCATAACATATTTTGTAATTTGGTGCAGGTAATAGAGTGTCCAGGGCCATCAGTCGGGGCTCACGGTCAAGCTTTAGACGACTATCTTTTGTTCACTATACCATTCATCCTTGAGTATTCCGCTGTTTAAGTCTCTGATTTCCTGCAAGTTTATTTACTCAATCATTTTTAAATTAATATTTCCAGATGAACCATTGGCCACAAGAAACAATAGAGCTCTGACCCCATCAACTGCCCTCTCTTATTACCAAAACGTTACACATGGTGAGATTTTTTACGAACCAAAATCAAATAATGTCATCATGGCCTGATTTATGCCAATATATCGGGAACTTCGTGACGTTGTGTGTCGTACTTTAAGACGATTTCCTGTCAGCGTCGTGGCGTGAAGTGTGTCAACGTAAGTTAATTCGCTGTTAACGTCAACACATATAATGCTATCACAAAAATGAAGAATCGACATTTCTAGTTTGCTGTGTTATGAGGGTTCCAAAGTTTTGTGTTTTAATTGGGAAGCTTTAATTAATAGTGCAAGGGAGCATGGCTGTTTCCCCGTTAAAGACTCAAACTCAGATTAGTTAGTTATAGTTAGATCCTTTCGCTGAGTCGTCTGAAAGATAAACCTAGGCTTAATTTGGACAGAACAACCTAGGCTTAAATTGGACACAACAACCTAGGCTTAAATATGACAGAACAACCTAGGCTTAAATTGGACAGAACAAATTAGGCTTAAATTGGACAGAACAAACTAGGCTTAAATTGGACAGAACAACCTAGGCTTAAATTGGACAGAACAACCTAGGCTTAAATTGGACAGAACAACCTAGGCTTAAATTGGACAGAACAACCTAGGCTTAAGTTGGACAGAACAACCTAGGCTTACATTGGATAGAACAACCTAGGCTTAAATTGGAAAGAGGAATTTAGGCTTAATCCTGGGCCGTACATGTTAGGCTTGAACCTGGACAGTACACGGTAGGCTTGGACCTGGACAGTACAAGGTAGGCTTGGACCTGGACAGTACACGGTAGGCTTGAACCTGGACAGTACACGGTAGGCTTGAACCTGGACAGTACACGGTAGGCTTGGACCTGGACAGTACACGGTAGGCTTGGACCTGGACAGTACACGGTAGGCTTGGACCTGGACAGTACACGGTAGGCTTGGACCTGGACAGTACACGGTAGGCTTGAACCTGGACAGTACACGGTAGGCTTGGACCTGGACAGTACACGGTAGGCTTGGACCTGGACAGTGCACGGTAGGCTTTGACCTGGACAGTACACGGTAGGCTTGAACCTGGCCAGTACACGGTAGGCTTGAACCTGGACAGTACACGGTAGGCTTGAATCTGGACAGTGCACGGTAGGCTTGAACCTGGACAGTACACGGTAGGCTGAAACGTGTGCCGACGAGTCAACTTAAAATGGAAGAGATAAATCCTATGAAGGAACGAAAAGGCACCCGGTTACGAATTGTACACATCCAAATCGAAATTTGAATCCACATTACTAACAACTGAACCGACATTACACACAGCTGAACCCACATTAAAAAAACCCAGCTGCTTTCACAATACAAACAGCTGAACCCACATTAAAAAAACCCAGCTGCTCTCACAATACAAACAGCTGATCCCACCTTAAAAAACAGCTGATCTTACATTACAAACAGCTGATACCAAATCAGGACAGCTGAACCCACATACCAAACAGCTGATACCACATTACAAACAGCTGATACTACATCAGAACAGCTGAACCCACATACCAAACAGCGAATACCACATTACAAACATCTGATCCCAAATTACAAGGGTTGATTCCCCCGCCTACCACTCACATTATAAACACAGCTGAACCAGCAATCCAAATACATGAACCCATATTACAAACAGCTGTACTGGTGCACATTTCAAACACATGAGCCCACACTACAAACAGCTGTAATGGTGCACATTTCAAACACATGAGCCCACACTACAAACAGCTGAACCAGCATTTTAAACACATGAAATCACATTACAAACAGCTGTACCGGTGCACATTTCAAACAGCAGTTGTGCTACAATAACCCCCTTGTTTCATTGGGGGGGGGGGTATGAGATGAATCATATTATCGACATGTACAGCCTGTTGGGAGATTAGTACCTTTGGTTTATTGTGTTTGTCCAACTCCAGAGCGTTCGCTACCGCAACATAGATTTGTTGTTGGTGTCATTAGATGGTGGATTGATTTGGTTCAATCGGTCTGGACGATAATTTAAGTCTATAGATTAGTGTCTACATATATGTATTAAGGATGAAAAATACGGAAAAAACAACCAACTCATTAACGCAACATAATTCCTTTGCACCAATGTCCAGGTTCACTTTGGTAAAAAATATTAATAATGAATACACAATATATCAAACAGGTGCCCCCCCCCCCGCCTAGGATCAACGTCTACTCGCTAGCAACACCGAAAAGTATAAAAGAATACAACCTAGCCCCAACCCCACTCGCTAGCAGCACCGCATAGTAGAACCACACCCAACCTGACCCGAACCCTAAGCGCTAGTAACGCCAGACATCTGAGGAACAAATGTGGAGTCTAATACATTTGCTATCAGTACTGCCTAAAATAGTTGCCTCACCGCCCAACCAAGCATCTAAAATCGTTCATTTGCCCCTTCCACTCAGTGCAAGAGTTTTGAATATAAGAGTTCCCCGTGATGTCGTCAAAATAAAAAAAAATTAAAAGCTAAAAATAAAAAATCAACTGAACCACAACCATTGTCGTGAACCAATGAATATGCCACACGTCAGCGGTACAACATGTTCATCTGCCTACCTTGTATGAGAGTAGTCGATCTGGCGGAGCAGCCAGAAGAGGTGGGTCTACTTTTTTTTGAAGAAAATAATTGATGCAATGGGAGAATAAGCAGGCGTACAAACGTGACGTGTAACGCGTTAAGAGCGTAGTGAGGCACTCGAAACGCTGCTGGTCACTAACCGCATCTTGGCCTACCTCCAGTCAGTCGTCTTGATCAAAGTCTGCCTCTACCTCCAGCTAGTCGTCTTGACCAATGTTTGCCTCTACCTCAAGCCAGTCGTCTTGACTAAATTTTGCCTCTACTTCCAGTTAGTCGTCTTGACCAAAGTTAGCCTCTACCTCCAGACAGTCGTCCTGACCAAACTTTGCCTTTACCTCTCGTCAGTCGTTCTAACCAAATTTTGCCTCTACCTCACGTCAGTCGTTCTGACCAAAGTTTGGCTCTACCTCCAGTCAGTCGTCTTGACCGAATTTGGCCTCTAACTCCAGTCAGTCGTCTTGATCAAAGTTAACCCTGATTGATTTTCTCGCAACCATTCCTTAAAACCGTACACTTAAGCCTAAAACGTCAAACATTCATAAAACTCGGTGGTGGTAGTCATATAGGCCTCAACTCGCGCGAGGCAGTGGTAGAGTCATATAGGCCTCAACTGGCGCAAGACAGTGGTAGAGTCATATAGGTCTCAACTCGCGCGAGGCAGTGGTAGAGTCATATAGGCGTCGACTCTCGTGAGCCAGTGGTAGAGTCATGTAAGCCTCAACTCGCACGAGGCAGTGGTATAGTCATATAGGCCTCAACACGAACGAGGCAGTGGTAGAGTCATATAGGCGTCGACTCTCGTGAGCCAGTGGTAGAGTCATGTAAGCCTCAACTCGCACGAGGCAGTGGTATAGTCATATAGGCCTCAACTCGCGCGAGGCAGTGTTAGAGTCATATAGGCCTCAACTCTCGTGAGCCAGTGGTAGAGTCATATAGGCTTCAACTCACGCGAGGCAGTGGTAGAGTCATATAGGCTTCAACTCACGCGAGGCAGTGGTAGAGTCATATAGGTCTTAACTCGGGCAAGAATAATTGTTAAGTACCGTTATATGGTTTTACAAATTTAATGTTTTAAGATTTGACACGGTGCAAAAAAACCACTAATATACCAAGGAAAACGACACCAAAGCCAGCGATATTAACAACAATCAAATTACATCGCTGGGTTGAAATAAAAATACACAAATCAAATTTACAAAAACTGGAAAGGTACCAGTATAAATATTGATTCACGCACTCAGACTGAAAAAAAAAATTGATTTGTAAGGTCTTTTGTATGGTATCTATGGTAAGTCTCTGATACGTCTGCCGGTCACAGTAGACCGTCGTGTTTATAGGGAGAGAGTCAGAACCCTCTAGAACAGAAAGTCTAGAAATTTAATCCACAGAGATTATTTCTCCTTCCTGGAAACGTAAACAAACTTTCCCAAACAAATACGTTTTTAAAAAAAAAAAAAAAATTATTTGAGGGAGGGGGGGGGATTGGCGGCACATAGCACAAAAATTATAGGTGACGTCCGTACAGAGGGGCAACTAGAGATTATTTCTCCTTCCTGGAAACGTAAACAAACTTTCCCAAAAAAATACGTTTTTAAAAAAAAAAAAAAAAATTATTTGAGGGAGGGGGGGGGATTGGCGGCACGTAGCACCAAGTTTATAGGTGACGTCCGTACAGAGGGGCAACTTGAGTGTTTGGCGCCCGGGGTCAACAGTCGCGCCTGTGGAAAGATTCATTTTAGCGCCCCCTTTACTTTTTTTCAACTTTAAAAACTCATCATTTTCATCAATAAAATATTATCAAAGTACATTTTGACGCCCCTAAATAGCTAACGCCCGGGGACATCTGTCCTCCCTTCCCCTTCGCTACTCATCTGCGTCAGTAAAAAAAACAACAAAGCGGGAGGTAAGGGCTGCATGCCACGGCTTGAAATAGGTCAACACCGAACAACACTATTGATAAACGTAAAGGGGTGTCGTCTCCCCTCGTGCCGGTCACAACATTGAATCCGCCCCCCCCCCTCCCCGCCCCCAAGACACGCCGTGCATACTGTGAACTCCCCAGTTGCGAGCAATGCCTACAACTGCATCGCCGTGCACAGAGGACGAATCAATAGAAGGCGCTAATCTTCTGGCGGTAACAGCTGCGCTGATAGCAAATCAAACAAAATAACTTCACACATCAAAAGAAGTGTGTGTGTGTGTGGAGGGTGGCAGATACGAAATTAAATGAAGGCAAATAGCTCCAGATCACCGTTGCCTTTGGTTGTTTATTTGCGCTAAACTCCTCAATTTTTTTGCAGTGGTTTCAAAAAAAAAATTTTAAAAAAATGTATGAATGTCCATGAAAGAAGTCCCCCATCCACCCCTCCTAATTTTTTCACGGGGTAGAGGGGGGGAGTGGGGACGATAAAAACATATTACTGAGTAGTCCTGCACAGTCACACACGCATTTTCTACGTCTTTTAATGAACAAAGC